GTCTAAGCCACATCACAGTGGAAGAAGAAGAGGCACAGTCTTTTCCTACAAGGTTAAAAAGGGAAAACAATGGAGAGAATACCATTCTCAGAATGGCCTTACATACTTTCACACAGTAATAACATTGACTTGGCGACTGTCCGAACAATCTACTCAGCCACACACAATAATCCTTGCATTTCATAGTGTGCCTTTCACATAGGGAAGACATCTCAAGGGCTTCACAGGAATCACTGCAAAGTGGAGTGATTGCATGTTTCGTGATGTGATATTTATAACAGAGTCACTCTCTGGTAACCTGAAGTGCATTAGAGATGGCTATCTGAAAAATTAACAAGACCATAATGTACTATGTTATGAGATATAAAATCAACATAGACCTTGAAGGTCTCAGGTTTTATACCCCAGTCTATGCTAGGTTAACTGATCACATCTGAGAAGACAGTGAGGACAGAACAGTTGATATCAGCATCCTTATGCAAAATCAAGCAGAGGTGCTGCATCTAATTAATATTCAATGGAATATTCAATTATATTTATAATTGTTTCCATAAATATAAAGAAATGTTAGGCGAGTTTCCTTACTCTACACCCCTCTTGTTTATCCTAAAAAAAATTCTGGTCTCTCAATCCATTACTGTTTGTGGGACACTGCTATGCAAAATTGGCTGCCTCGTTTCGCCCACAAAATACAAAGTCACTACAATAACAACAACAACAACAAGATTCCATTTATAAAGCGCCTTTCACGTCAGGAGGACGTCCCAAGGCGCTGCACAGTTGGGTCATGACCCGAGCAGGGGGGAAATGGTCAGGGTGAGGGGAGGGAGGGAGCGAGGAGGGGGGAAATGGTCAGGGTGAGGGGAGGGAAGGGAGGGAGCAAGGAGGGGGGAAATGGTCAGGGTGAGGGGAGGGAAGGGATGGAGCGAGGAGGGGGAAGAGAGTCGAGAGGGGAGCTGAAGGCACGGTCAAAGAGAAAGGTTTTGAGACCGGCCTTGAAGGAGGAAAGGGAGGAAGCAAGGCGAAGGCACTGGGGGATGGAGTTCCAGAGCCTGGGGGCTGAGAGGCTGAAGGCCCGACCACCGATGGTAGGGCGGTTGGGGCGGGGGACGTGGAGCAGACCGGAGCCAGAGGAACGGAGGGTACGGGCAGGTAGGTGGGGGGATAGTAGGTTGGAGAGGTAGGAGGGAGCAAGGCCGTGAATGGCCTGTAGGTGAGGATGAGGATCTTGAAATCAATCCTCTGGGGGATGGGGAGCCAGTGGAGGTGAGCGAGGGTGGGAGTGATGTGGTCCCGAAGCCTGGTGCGGGACAGTACACGAGCTGCAGAGTTCTGAATGACCTGCAGCTTGTGGAGGGAGGTGCCGGGAAGGCCGGCGAGGAGAGAGTTCCCGTAGTCCAGCCTTGAGGTGACAAAGGCGTGAACCAGGGTTTCAGCAGCGTGAGGGGTGAGGTAATGCCGTAGTCTGGCCATGTTCCGGAGGTGATGGAAGGCAGTGCCAGTTGTGGTGCGGATGTGAGGGAGAAAGGACAGCTCAGGGTCGAACAAAACGCCGAGGTTCCTGACTGGCTTTGAGAGGTGGAGAGTGCAGCCTTGGATGCTGATGGTGTCAGCGCCTGAGGTGCGGAGGCGCTGACGTGAGCCAATCAGGAGGGCCTCGGTTTTTCGCACGTTGAGCTGAAGAAAGTTGTCTCTCGTCCAGGACTCAATGTCGGACAGGCAGCTGTCAGGACATCGGTGGTCGTGGAGTTGAGAGTAGAGGAGGAAAGGTAGTATAGTCTGTGAAGTGCTTTGAGGCATCTCGGTGATGTGATAAGGCGCTATATCAAATGCAAGGATTGTTATTATTATTATAATTACAAATGAAAAATGGTCACTCCTTTCTTCCAGTAATGTGAAGTATGTCACTACCCCATGGAAACTGTGCTCTGACATTTTCGGAGCAGAATTCCTGGAGCCAGATTCCAGGATGTAGGAATTAAGGAACTCCATTCAGAAATATTGCAAGTTAGAAAAAAATAGGTATTTCTGGGTTACATCCAGCAATTGTTACAAATGAATAACACAGTACTACAGCTTTTACTAACTGTAAATTAAGCCATGTCTCTGAGGACATGAAGTGCTCTTCATTACCAGCAGCATCTGCACACTTATGTGTTGTGCTAGGCTGCACAATACCCTCTACAGGCTTCAACTGAAACACATTTGGGAAGAAATTCTATCTGGGTTTAGATTTGCTCTATTTATGTAGCATTTCAAAGAGTCCAGAATTTGACAATTTTTTGAGTTCAGTCTTAACTTCAAGGCTGGTTTCCTGTAATTCTTTAAAAAAAACAAATTACATAAAAACAGCTTCAAAATTAAAGCTGTGTTGTGCAAAGTTCCTAAATTCATTATTAATCAAGCTAGTTTTTTTAAAACTATGGAAAGCAGACTGCCATCATTCTCTGTCATCGCACATTTTTAAATCAAGTTGTTTTTTTAAAGCTAAGTCGATTTGCAAATCTATTGTATTGCTAAATACCACACGACAATAGTAAACAATTGCAAATTAGAATATCACAATTTATTATCTATAATTTCAACTTCAACCACACTACCATTGGTACAATTAAATTCCTAAAATCTGAGTGAATATTTGAAAGATCTGCCCTTCGTAACATGAAATTGGAGACAAATGATTCCTTATTTCTAGCTCTGCAATACTTAGATATCACCTGACCATAACATTTTCTAGTCATCTAGTGTATCAGCAATATAATAGTCTAATTTGCAATATTTGCAAGCTAGAGAGGTAAAATTCCACATGGATCTAAATTAACTCTTTTTAAAATAGTAGGGTGCACAGAACTTCGCAAATTCTTAAATAGTACTTTTGAAGCATGTTTTCTGTAAGTTCTTCTAAGAACCACAGCAACTGACATTATTAAGACTCTATTCAACGATTTGCCAAGTTCTCAATCCACTGAAATTCTATGTCAATAAAGTAAATCTTAGACGCAGGTGGAATTGCCCCCCATGGATTTTTTGAGCTAATTGCAACTTCCAGTTTGTGAAAATCACAGCAAAAATCATGACGAACAAATCCCAAACTAGCAGTCAGAAGAAAGGTTTGCAAGTGCAAATAATGCTACAATTTTTAGATATTTATGCTGCCCAAGTATTTTCTTGCTACAGTTCTTCGTTGACTGTTCTTTATGGTTGCTTCTATCAAGCGTGTGAAATACAGACATTATCTTCCACCACAAAGTGACGATTTTTAAACATTGGTAAGTGATGTGATAATCAGTTTACGTTATTGTTAGTTATTCTGCCTGAGGATGAGGAGAACTGCATAAGAATTCTACTCTCTCCTTCAGAAACACCAGACATAGTGAATGGATCAAAGCTCAAGGCCCCATTGTATGCCATGCTTCAGAATCAGGCTATGGCATTTTTGTAATACACGATTGAACATTTGTATATATATATAGTCACATATTAAGACCCAGGAGGATGCACTATAAACAATTTAAAATATGTATCAGCCCCATCTGCTTTCAATTAATCTTTTGTTTTTGGATTATTCTTATACTCAGAGTTCATATACTGATTTTTATACACATTGAAATAGGTATGCATTTTTTATTAACAGCAAGAGCCAAGGCGTTATCTAAAATTAAAGTCCATCTGATCGACTGAACAGAAGCTTACATTGTGATATAGAATGACAACAATCCTATGGAACTAAAGTCTCGTGCTGTCCAAGATTAACCAGACACTGAACAAAATTTGAATCATTATTTGTGAACTTTTAAGCAAAATGATATTCATTCAGTCAAACATTAAAAGTCACAAATGATTGTTCTGAATGTCTCAGCAAGTTCAGCATAACTCCTCAATAGTCAAAGGTAACACACACACACTGCACTGGGATTTCTTTCCTACCTAGATTTAGCAATTCAAATGGCAAAAGCAACCCATTTACACAACAGGATCTCTGAAGACTAAACAATCTATTAACTGATTCAATTGGATACTGTCAGTAGCAACAAGTCACAGATAGTGCTTAGAATTTTAAGAGCCTTGCACATAATCAGCTATGGCTATCCTACCGCCAAAATGGCCATTAATGTATTGGAAAATGATGTGAGCTACAGCAACAAAGAAAGATTCCATGCACAGATCAATGTCCTGTAAAGATGGCCTAAAAGGAGGATCAAGATCAAGGAGATAGGAATATCTATTTAAAAACAATAATCAATAATCAAGGAAGATGACAGAGTGGAAACAAAAAATAATTTAAAGAAATAACCCAAGGTATTGTTGAAAACAAGGAAATAGTGAACTAAAATGAGAATTCGGGAAGCGTTTCTCCCTTAGGGCGTACAGAATAAACTTTCATTGATTTGTATTAATATCAAATCTTGCTAAGTATAAATATGAGACTGCAGTAATAGAAGTTACAGGCAATTTCTGTGATTTTCTTTTTTATATGATAAATATTTTTGTTCCTCCACACTCCTTCAAAAAGAGATTTCCGATCGAAGGATCATATCAGGATAGTTGGCAATGCCACAACATGAGCAGCTGAAATTTACACTACAAGCAAAGTAGGGCCACCAACATCAATTTTTCCTCCTCTCCAAGCAATTGCTTGATGTTCCATCCCCACAAGCTATTGGAGGCAGATATATCAGCCGTGTAGCTCTGGGATTTAATATGACCATCTGTTTGGGAGAACACCATCATGCTCCCTGTCCAACTAACACAATACAGTACCATACTCATGATGTCAATGCATTGATGGAATTTTTAGATGCTCATCAAAGTGCATGTCAAAAACCTTTAAAGTGTCATTTAAAAGCTGCAGGAGAGGGAAATTAACCTTTCTCTGATGAATATGAAAACACTTTACTCATAATTACAAACACAGCTTGTAGGTTTTCATTAAATTACCAGAGCATAAGATAACAACTAGTAGCATGACATACAAAACACTGGTGAGGTATTGGTTTTACCTTGATCAATCTTGAAGCATAATGATCGTTTTGCTGCCTCCAAGTCAGCATTGGGCTGATCAAACACTTGTCTGCACCACTGCAAGGGATCCTGAGCCTTCTGTTCTGCTGTGGCTTGCTGCCTCGGTGAAACGTACAACCTGGAACAAGCAAAATGCTATATTATAGTTATAGTATTAATGTTTCTTTTGCCATGTGTCAATCTCACTTTTACAAGCTTATGACAAATATTACAGAAGCTACTATATTTAAAATCTTTCGCCTAATGAAGACAATGTAAGAACAAGGAAAATACAAACCTATGAGGACAACGGTAGTATTTTTACACTAATATTTTAATTTACTGAAAGAACATTAATAATGATTATAATCCTTGCATTTGATATAGTGCCAAATCACGTCTTCGAGATGTATCAAAATGCTTCACAGAATATATTGTAAAGTGAATTGACTACATGTTTTTTTTGTGGGCGAAACGCGGCAGCCAATTGCGCCCAGCAGTGTCGCACAAACAGTCGTGGACTAAGTGAAGAAACTTTTTTTTTTTGAAGGAATGATTATCCCTGAAAAAGTGATCCGCAATCATTATTTAAATTAAATAACGGTTGTTAGTCGAATGGCTGATCACTTTTCCGAGGATATTAATCCTTAAAAAGAATAATAATTTGGTCACTCAATCCACAACTGTTTGTTGGACACTGCTGTGTGCAATTGGTTGCCGTGTTTTGCTCACAAATATACAGTCAATTCACTTTACAGTATATTCTGGGAAGCGCTTTGAGACTTCTAGAAGACGTGAAAAGTGCTATATCAAATGCAAAGATTATTATTATTATTATTTCCACAGCAGTTCGTCAAGGTAACATGAAGGGCTTGAGCAGACATCATGCTGAGTGCAGCGATATTCTAGTCATACAATACTGCCATTAGATGTTAGCCTCAACATGGGAAATGAACCACTAAGTAATAGCACAACAGCACAATAGTTTGGTTGATGCAAAATGGCAAATAAAGATGAAGGGCTTGGGGAAACTTTGAACTCACCATTATTTGAACTTTCAGCGCACCATCTAGACTGACACTCCTGAGGAGTACTGCATTGTCAGAGATGCTATCCTTTGGATGACACATTCTACTATCTGTTCTGGTGAACGTTAAAGATCCCATGATACCAGCTGAAGAGAAGAGAGTTTCTCCCAATGTCTTGGCCAACAGTCCTCCAGATAAAATTGGTCATTTAGGCCATGACAGTTTATGAGACATTGTTGTGTGTAAATTGACAGTCCGGTTTGCCTACAAATACACAGTACTATACTTCACAGAAAATCCCGTGAAGTGCTTTGAGGTGTCCCTAGACATGAAAGATGCTATAACAAATGCAATGATTATTATTATTTTTTTCAAGGCAATTGCTTCACTCCAATTCAACAGCTTCCTTAATGATACTCATTGAACATTGTTAAGGCAGTGCTTCACAAGTAATTGCTGTCAAAATGGTCACTGTATCTCGATGCAAACAATTTGCTCAAAGCAAGATCCCACAAACAGCCATTAAGTGAGTAACCAATTTATCTGGAGGATTGTTAGCAGGTCATGCTTTTCATAAAAAGACAGAGGAAATAAATTTGAAGTGAGCTGACTCATATTACTCTCTTCAGGGAAAACAGTTCTAACTAGACAGAAGGAAACCCCAGGGCTCCATTCTTGGCCCTCTTCTTTTGCTTATATGCTCCATCTGGGTGATATCATCAGCAGACACAGGGTAAACTTCCACATGTTTTTTTGATGACACACAATTCTACTTTGCCTCCTCCAGTACCAACTCCAGGTCCGCCGATGTTCTATCAGCTTGGCTGGCAGACATCAGAGGCTGGATGAGCGCAAACTTCCTGCAGCTGAATATCCTTCAATGTCTTCACCCTGCGGATCTGAACTCCTCAAACTCCCTGGGCTCTCCCTCACACTCACCAAATCTAGGGGCAATCTAGGCATCCGGTTTGGCCCCCAGCTGTTCTTCCTCCCCCACATCTAGTCTCTGTCTTCTTCCACTTCTGCCACATTGCCCGCCTCTGATGGTACCTTACCACAAATGCAGCTGAAACCCTCTTGCATGCGTTTGTCACCTCCCACCGGATTACTCAAACGCACCCCTCGCCGGTCTCCCCAGCTCCACCATTCACAAGATCCAGCTCATTCAGAACTCTGCCACCCGCATACTGAGCCGGACCAAACTCCGTACCTACATCTCACCAGTTCTGGCCAGGCTCCACTGGCTCCCCATCACCGATCGGATCGACTTCAAGATCCTCACACTCATGTTCAAATTCCTTCACTCTCTAGCACCTCCCTACCTCTCCAACCTCCTCACTCTCCATTCCACCAACCGGTGCCTCCGCTCAACTGGCACCAGCCTCCTGCTCGTCCCTCACACCCCACCATCGGAGATCGCGCTTTCAGCCACTACTCCTAAAAACTCTGAAACACTCTTCCTCAATCCCTTTGCCTTGCCCCCTCTCTCCCCTTTTTCAAGTCCCACCTGAAAACCTTCCTCTTCGACCATGCTGACGGCCATCTCCCCTCCACCCCCAGCTCCGAGTCAGACTCTGCCATTGTTAAATGCTCTGAGATGCTATCCTGTGTGGAGGGCGCTTAAGTTGTTGTTGTTGGTGTTGGTCAATCAATTCTCTCCCTATTTTCAACCTTCTTCAAAACTAAGGAATATAATCCAAGTTTATCCAGCCTCCTAGCAAAACAACATCCTGCATCCAAAGTATTCTTTTAATATTGTTGTGAACTTCTTCCAATGCTAATATATCCTTCTTCATATTAGCTACTCAAAACTAATCGCAATACATCAAATGAGGTTCAGCCAGTTAACCCCAGCATAATTGCATTATCCTTGTTTATACATTCTAGATCACTTGTGAAAGAGCAGCAACTTATACACATTTTTGGCTGTTTTGTTTTACACATACAAACTAGCATTAACAAATAATGATGCTAAAATCCCTTTGATCATCTAACCTCCTACCAGTTTTTCACATTTACAAAATATTTCCAGCTGTTATTGAGAATCCGTAGCAAAACATTACACTGGACATGATATAAAGTGAATCACTGGGCATAAGGAAAATGAACCAAAATATACTATCTCACGCATTGCTAAACTGAACTCGTTCTGCTATAGTTCTGTTCATTCTCTTAATATATCTATGTCCCTTGGCAATTTTCTGCTCTCTCCTCAATTCACTACTTTTAATTTATTGTAATCTACAGTACTTTCTTGTATTCCTGTATCCAGGCCATTAAAACAGTGAAAAACTGTACCCCACGACCGACCAAGAGAGCATCACTCATCACTGCCTGCTAATTTAAAAAGTTTCCTATTATGCCACCATTTCCCCATGTACCTCCCAACCAATTTCCAATTTGTGCCGCTTGATTGCCTCCAATTCCACACACCTTAATTTTAACCAATAAAGAATATAACCTGATGAAACTCCTTCCAAAAATCCAATTAAGTGACATCCATGGGTCTCCTGCATCTACCTCCATGGTCTATCATAGAATTCTATTAGGTTAGTCAGACGTGACCTTGCTCTCACATGCAGACTCTCCCTGCTCATCTTGTACTGTACTTGTCCAAGTATTCAGTTACTCTGTTTCTCAGGATAGATTCCAGTCATTTCCCAAATTCTAACGTAGTGTGTACCACTTCAAATCCTTTCCACTGGTCTTTTATCTTCTATGTGAGGACATTGGTGTATGCTCTGTTTACGTGCAACATGTCCCACCCTTAGAGTGACCCCCTGCCCAGAACTCATCTGAATACCAAACGAACTTAAAACCTTCTGTCGAACATTACTTCTCAAGCCATACAAGCTGCCCTGTGTGAGGAGCACTGCATAAATGCAAATTGTTGCTATTGTTGTCTCATATTTGCTTCTCCCTAAATGCATGGTAAAAATGTAATCCTGAGATCCTGGAGGTGAATATCCACTCCTTAGTTCCAAAGCCCTCAAAAATGCAAAGAACCTGGCTTCTTAGAGCAACCAATTATATGGAAAGTCATCAGAGTAAGCTTTTCTCTGACATTTCGAGAGACAACAAGTTTGCTGGGTTCAATTGAAACAATTATGTTCAATAATTTTGCAGCTACCCTGAAATGTCATAGTTTGATAAAACACAGACCTACAGCAAAGGGGTGAAACATTTCACTGGGTCAGAATAAATAAATCTCGCATTTGATCCAGCTCCTTATCACATTGAAATTTTTCAAGATGCATGTTTCTGTAAAGTGCAGCAACTATGTATATATAGGTTAATGCAACAACAACAACAACAACAAGATTCCATTTATTGAGCACCTTTCATGTCGGGAGGACGTCCCAAGGCGCTGTACAGTTGGGTCAGGACCCGAGCAAGGGGGAAATGGTCAGGGTGAGGGGAGGGAAGGGAGGGAGCGAGGAGGGGGTAGAGAGTCGAGAGGGGAGCTGAAGGCACGGTCAAAGAGAAAGGTCTTGAGACCGGCCTTGAAGGAGGAAAGGGAGGAAGCAAGGCGAAGGCACTGGGGGATAGAGTTCCAGAGCCTCGGGGCTGAGAGGCTGAAGGCCCGGCCACCGATGGTAGGGCGGTTGGGGCGGGGGATGTGGAGCAGACTGGAGCCAGAGGAACGGAGAGTACGGGCAGGTAGGTAGGGGGATAGTAGCTCGGAGAGGTAGGAGGGAGCAAGGACGTGAATGGCCTTGTAGGTGAGAGTGAGGATATTCAATTCGATCCTCTGGGGGATGGGGAGCCAGTGGAGGCGAGCGAGGGTGGGAGTGATGTGGTCCCGAAGCCTGGTGCGGGACAGTACACGAGCTGCAGAGTTCTGAATGACCTGCAGCTTGTGGAGGGAGGTGGCGGGAAGGCCGGCGAGGAGAGAGTTCCCATAGTCCAGCCTTGAGGTGATAAAGGCGTGGACCAGAGTTTCAGCAGCGTGAGGGGTGAGGTAGTGCCGTAGTCTGGCGACATTCCGGAGGTGATGGAAGGCGGTGCCAGTTGTGGTGCGGATATGAGGGAGAAAGGACAGCTCAGGGTCGAACAGAACCCGAGGTTCCTGACTGGCTTTGAGAGGTGGAGAGTGCAGCCTTGGATGCTGATGTTGTCAGCGCCTGAGGTGCGGAGGCGCTGACGTGAGCCAATCAGGAGGGCCTCAGTTTTGCGCACGTTGAGCTGAAGAAAGTTGTCTCTCGTCCAGGACTCGATGTCGGACAGGCAGCTGTCAGGACATCGGTGGTCGTGGAGTTGAGGGTAGAGGAGGAAAGGTAGAGTTGGGTGTCATCCGCATACATGTGGAAGTTAACCCCATGTCTGCGGATGATGTCACCAAGGGGGAGCATATAGAGGGTGAAGAGGAGGGGACCGAGGACAGAGCCCTGAGGGACACCGCACGAGACAGTGCGGGGGCCGGAGGAAAAACCATTTGTGGAGACAAAGTGAAGACGGTGGGAGAGGTACAACCTAAACCACTCAAGGACAGGGCCTTGAAGGTTGAGGTGGGAGGACAAGCGGTGGAGGAGGATAGCGTGGTCGACCGTATCGAATGCTGCCGATAGGTCGAGGAGGACGAGGAGGCAGAGGGAGCCCTGGTCACAGATGGTCAGGATGTCATTGGTGACCTTGACCAGGGCGGTTTCTGTGCTATGGAAATGCAGTAGCCAATGTGACCTTCAATGTCAACAGCCACTTGATTTCTTTGTTCCAAATCAATGGACGATATTCATTTGGAGACTTGCAGGAAAAGTGGATCTTGTTATATTGTCTCACCAGTTTTTGGCCACCAGGTAGCAGGATGCAGGAACCAACAACCACATCCTGTTTCCATGGTTACTGTCAGCCCCAGAATAGGCATCAGTTCACTATGCAATGTAAAAGGAAGGCACATTAGAAACGCTCATGGTGTACATTTTATACAAATGAAATGACTTGATAATTCACTGCTCGTGAACGTCAATCAATGGTCAGCACTATGAAATCTACCCTTGGGGTATTCATATTATATTCTGTACACATAATAGAGAATATTCTTCTTATGTCATGCTGAACAATTATAATTGAGTTACGTTGCACAGAAATGCAGGTTTATTGGTTCAATATCTCAATTTTTGTTTTGGTTCTTGGCAGCAGTTGGCAGCTGTGCATCAATGAGTTCATCGTGTGTGATGTGGGTTCAGAACATTTATGCTTCTGCATGTTTTCTTCAAATAAATGTTCACAAGAAAAACTGATCTCGAATTAAGAATTGTCATATTACTTTCAGAAACAATCATTACTTGATGTAAATAACAACAAACACAATCTATCAGAAGTTCAGTCATAGTGTCTTTCACGTCGGGAGCACCTCCCAAGGCACTGGAAGTCAGGGATTTGGACCCGAGTGGTGGGGGGTGGGTGGTGGTTGGGATAAGGGAGGGTGGAGGGCAGGGAGGGTAGGAGGGTACTATTCATATAGTTGCGAATGTGAAAGTTACTGAATTTTAATATCTCATATTAAATTCTAAATATCTCATTTAAATCTATCTGAATCATAGATATTCTGTCCTAAAATCAAAATTATCTTTCCAGAATACCATGAACTAATATAGTTTCATTCAATTTAACACAAATCATTGGAATCTAGAAAAACAATCCCTCGGATTAAGGCTCAAGTCAAACCAGTAAGGATATATTCACAACTATTCAGCACCAATTTCACATCCACCTCCAACCAAAGTACAACAATAAAAAATTTAACATTTTATATATTATGTACTTTTTCAAATAAATAACAATAATCCTTGCATTTTGTAAAGCACCTTTCACATCGGGAGGACATCCCAAAGCCCTTTACAGGATATATTGCAAAGTGAAGTGCCTGGATGTTTTGTTGGCAAACAAAACAAAAGTGAGCTGAAGAATTGGGTATCGTCCTTTAGGTATGTGCCTTGATTTCAATCAACCGGGACTGTATTAATCTGTGACAATTTCCCATTGCTGCTTGTTGTAGACATTATATGAGAAATGTCCTTGTATCACTACAGCCAGGTTTTCAGTGGTAGTGGGTCAAGTGCTTTGTGTAAACATGAACACGGTAACGTTATAATGATAGATGGAATTGTCCAAATAAGGCAATCAGTTGGCTCTTATTATTAGTGGAGGTTATATGTAATCAAGTACCCCTACATAATGACAGCAAGCACCACCTCTGAAACACATGACTACAGTAACAAATCCACCTCTGTTAGCTGCAGGTACTTGAAGCTGGCCTTCAGTATGTCTCAGGCTAGACAATTGGTTATGGCATCTCCCATCAGTGCTATCTAAATACAAGAGCAACTTAGCATGTCCACAAGAACACAGACATCACTGGCCCAGCAACACATTCATTTTATTTAACTTCCTTGTCATTCTTTAATTGTGCCTAAAGTAATTGGTCAGATGTACAAAAGCCAAAACAAAGGATGCGTGTGATGTATCAAACATTAAATGGAGGATGTCAAATAGCTGTTTCATTACAGTAAATATGTTCATATAAAAATAATTGTACCAATTGCAAAATTCCATGAATCAAAAGAGATATGAAACCCTCTGATGTCGTCTCCTTACCTGCAGTAGATGGTCTTCTGCTGAGATCTAAGTAGTGGGACCCAGGCTTTAATTCCTTCCTTAATGCGGTGGTGCACAATAATCTGGTCAATTGATACCATCTCTCCCGGGAGTGCTTCAAAAGACTCAATGATCCAAAAGTAATATCTTTATTACCAATTGCAGGAGCTTTACTGCCACTGAAAGTGGCATTACTGGTAGTATCCTTATAGGTTTTTGTGGACCAAGTGGCAAAAGCCTTAAGGATTTCTGCAACATGTCCCAGGAATCGTATATTATTGCAGTAGATACACTATCTAATGCAATGTATCTACTGCAATAAATAGATATTGTAGATATACTATCTACTGCAAGTCATTGCTTCCTTTTCCCTCGACACCCCCAGGCCACCTTCTTCTCCTACTCTTCTTCAATAGCCTTACCAATGGCCACCTCAACCATACCAACAGGCAGAAACCTTCTCTGAACTAATATGTATTTCTCATACTGCTTTGATAGTATTTCAACATCTTTCATTAACCTCACTGAGGTCAGCTCCAGCCTGGAGTTTAACACCTACTTTTTGCAATAAGGTCTGCTTTGCTTAATGTTGCGAGAGACCTTTCTCCTTCAATAGGTTCTTAACAACCTAAATTAGTGTTATTCCCTGATGTCCAGAGGTGGGCATGCTGAGAGCAGAGTTGAACACGGACGATTGATTCCTCCATTGCAACAATCTCCCCACAAGGTTGGACCATTGCCAGTTCAGTCTGTTTGAAAAACAATTTCACTCTGAAAAGGATCATTCTCAGTAGTAGCTATTTTTAATTACAGAACAGTCAGCTATGTCCAATCACTTGCAGTCTATTGGAAAAATGACTGGTGTAATAACACCACCTCTTAATACATACACATCAGCTCATTGGCTTCTAATACTATGCAGAGTGAAATGTATTTGTTTTTACCAGACAGTGGTAATTCATTCCTGGAAATTGATTTTAGATAAAGAAGAAATTCCAAATGCCTTAAATATACAACGTACATCAAAGAGAAAGTAACAATAATAATCCTTGCATTTGATACAATGCCTTAGCGCGTTATTGAGACGTCTCAAAACGCTTCACTGGTCATACTGTAAAGTGAATCAGCTGAATATTTTGTAGGCAAAACAACAGTCATAACGAATGCAAAAATACACAAATAACTGGCGACGGAATGAAATGCTTCAGCAGTGGGTGAAAGGTTCATGTCCAGCTCGGATCCAGTGGTTATTGTGTGTATAAGGATCTGCAGTTTCAAGGCTGGAACAGGAGTCTCAGCGCTCATTAAAGAGCTCACACTCTCAGCTCCTGATATCGACAGCTCTGTTCGCTATTCAAACACAATCATCGGCCCTTTAAAGTCCCTCAACATGAAAGTGCACGTTACTGAGGATTGCAACGCAACACACGCAGTCGATACGAGGGGGAATTGCAGGGAAAATAACCCGAAAATAATAATAATAATAATAATAATCCCCTGCTGTGTTAGGACAGCATCGATCTCGTCTTCACACGGAAAATAACCCCCGGAGATGATGAGATTATATTGAGTGTCGGGGCACCGGTGTCTGTCCCCCGTTTCCCCAATTCGGGAACCAGCCTCGAAAACCACCTCTTGACCCCCCCCCCCGACACCCCCCGACACCCCCCCCCCGACACCACCCCCCCCCGACACCCCCCGACACCCACCCCCCCGACACCCCCCGACACCCCCCGACACCCCCCCCCCGACACCACCCCCCCGACACCCCCCGACACCCCCCGACACCCCCCCCGACACCCCCCGACACCACCCCCCGACACCCCCGACACCCCCGACACCCCCCCCCCCGACACCCCCCGACACCCCCCCCCCGACCCCCCCCCGACACCCCCCCGACACCCCCCCCCGACACCCCCGATACCCCCCCCCGACCCCCCCGACACCACCCCCCCGACCCCCCCCGACACCCCCCGCCCCCGACACCCCCCGACACCCCCCGCCCCCGACACCCCCCGACACCCCCGCCCCGACACCCACCGACACCCCCCGACACCACCCCCCCCGACACCCCCCGACACCCCCCCCCCGACACCACCCCCCCCGACACCCCCGATACCCCCTCCCCCCGACACCCCCCGCCCCCGACACTCACCGACACCCCCCGACACCCCCGACACCCCCCCGACACCACCCCCCGACAACCCCCGACACCCCCCGCCCCCGACACCCCCCGACACCCCCCGAATGGACCAGATGTCTAACCGGGATTCAGACGGAGCAACGCGCCATCCATCACCGGGAGCCTCGCGGACCAGTGACAGGCAGAGAGCAAACAACGGGCAGGAAAGGCAGAGGCAAATGGTGGTGAGGGACGATGGTGCGAAATAAACCAGGAGGGGGGGGGGGGGGGATGGAGAGACTGGGGGGAGAACACGTATAACGTACAGAAAACACGTCTATCTGATCAGAGGCAGTGGGTAAAATAAAAAAAAAACAGGGCTGTAACCTCACCAGCTCTCATCGTCCCCGTCACACCATCCGCTCTCCAAGTCCAGGATGTCCACCTCCTCCAGGGTCAGCCTGACCGACCCACTGCCCAGCCGCGCCTCGCTGTCCCCGGGCTGCCTGCTGCCGTGCGGCGCTTTGCTGCGCTCCCAGTAGTCGGGGCTGAGGCTGGGGCAGTAGCCGGGGCTGGGGAAGCAATACCCGGGGCTGGGGGGCGGGTAGAGCAGGGCAGAGGCCGGCAGCTGGTACAGCGAGTGGCTGGCGGCCGCCGCCCGGCTCTTCAGCTGCTCGTTCTGCCACTCGAGCTTCCTCACCAGCTCCTGCAGCTTCTTCACCTCCAGCTCCGCGCTCACACCGGAGCTCACGTCCGCCGCCCCCATCACCTTCAGCAGCGGCGCCTCCATCGCCAGGGCCGGTCAAGGGAAGCGCCTCAGCCTCTGCCTCAGCCTCAGCCTCTGCGCTGCTCTGCTCTGCTCCGGGGCCGGGGGGAGGCACCTGCCCAAAGCGCCTCGGTTGAATGCTGCTCTGCCCCCACCAGTGCACTGAGCATAGCGCACGGCAGTACCCAGGGACAGACAGGCAGACAGGCAGAGCTGTGCACACTGGCAGTACTCTCTGCTGCCGGGCTTTTCCCTGCATTCACAACAAAGAGCTTGTCTGCCTGCACTGCCACCCAGACCAGAGGAGCAGTGCCTTTTGTTGCAGAGCTTCCTCTCATCTGTGTAACGTCTGTGTGTGTGTGTGTGTGTGTGGGGGTGTTTGTATGTATATCTCTGCAAATGTGATCAATCACCGTGGGTGCGTTTTGTTTCCCAGAGGACGTGCAATGAAATCTTACTGGTTCATTTCAGCAAACCATCTCAGGACTGCAGAGGTAGATTCCTGGAAGGAATCTGGTGGCAAACTGAATGGGTTGGCTCAATGGACTAACGTCTATTCCCGTCTGAATTTGTTACTTCTGAAGATCTTGTTCGGGTGTATTGTTCTGCTGAAAGCTACAGCCTTCAAAGGAGGGGCTGCAGAAATATACAAACTCGCCCACACTCGAGTCAACCATTTGTTCACACAGTGGGAGCAACTCCTCAATTTGAACTTTTTTTTCTGTGTATACTGTACATATGTGTATACAGGGAAATACCATAACATGCTCAAATGTGGCCAGTTCTCCCTCCTCAAGCTCCATCACCCACACTTCACTCAGACCCTATTAATATCCTGTTCAGCTCCCCTACCCTCCCACACTCAGAATCGGGTTCAACTCTGGATTTACATTTTTGCGGGGCACTTGACAAATAAAGTATATGTTTACACATTTATTCATTATGTTGGGGCATGTTGTGCGCAATTGGCTGCTGCGTTTCGCCCACAAATATACAATCGGTTCACTTTGAAGTATATTCTGCGAAGCGCTCTACAAGACATGTAAAGCGCTATATCATATGCAAGGATTATTGTTATGTTTCGTGAATACAAATAGTAATAATAATCCTTGCATTTCATTATTTCACTTTATCACGTCATTGAAACGTCTCAAAGCGCTTCACAATATATATTTGTAAAGTGGATTGACTGTATATTTTGTATATATTTTTTATTGTATTTTTCTTTATAAAATATTTTATGTTTTACAAAGAAAAACAACAAACACAAAAAAAGGAGGTGAATCAGCATCCGAGGCTAAACCCATTTTTCGTTTTAAATGCTGATCAGCCCTTTGTGAATTTTTACCATTTCTGCTTGCATTTTTTGTACATGTAATTTTGAATACATTTCATGATTTGTAAGATATTTAAACCACCTGGGCTTCACTCTAGACAACCAACCCATCCAGGAAAATGGAAGGACCAGCTGTTTTGGTAAGGTTTCAGGTAGTACCATGCAATCTTTAACATCTACAGGAACAGAGAGACAGGACCTCATGGAGGCGCTTTGGCAAATAGGCATGCCCACTGTGAAGCCGTCTCCATCTCCAGTGACAGGTCAGTGAAGACCGGAACCCTCCTTCCCTGCAGCCACTTCCCCTGTTTACCACAAAGCCATCATGCTGCTTGATCCTGGACTTCACAAATGGGTGAGAGGAAGCTTCTAGGCTGCATCCCCAGCAGCTCAAAACCATAAAGGAGAATTGTTTGTACACAAGTCTTATATGCCACAGGCATTGGGACCTTGAAGAAAGACAAACCCGGCCAGAATGCCCTTTGCCTCTTCTCTGCGCAGTCTTTCAGGTCTGTGTCCACCACAACCCCATTTACTGATAAGAATCAACAATTAGGACAGATGCCCCTTGTATCTTCCAATCAATATGCTTGATGTCCTCTCTTGACCTGAGCAGAACTATGATTCTACATTTGGGATACCTACCATCATATCAAACTGAGTGGCCTAGTGTTCAAGATGGCAAGTGCAGTGCATAGGATCCATAGGATATTTGCAAACAGAACAACAAAATTACATTTATAGAGCACTTTTCACGTCGGGAGGACGTCCCAAAGCACTGAACAGTCAGCTGTCGGGGCCCGAGCATGGGGAAAGGGTGCTAGAGGGGTGAGGGAAGGGAGAGAGGTGGGAGGGAGACCAAAGGCACGGTCGAAGAGAAGGGTCTTGAGAATGGCCTTGAAGGATGTGAGGGAGGAAGCGAGGTGAAGGGACCGTGGAATGGAGTGCCAGAGTGTGGGGGCAGAGACGCTGAAAGCCCGGCCACCGATGGTAGGGCGGGAGACATGGAGCAGGCCGGAGCCCGATGAACGGAGGGAGCAGGCAGGTTGGTAGGGAGTCAGCAGGTCAGAGAGGTAGGAGGGGGCAAGGCCATGGATGGCCTTAAAGGTGAGGATAAGGATCTTGAACTCGATCCTCTGGGGGATGGGGAGCCAGTGGAGTCGGGTGAGGGTGGGAGTGATGGGGTCGAGAGCCTGGTGAGTGAGGGTACAAGAGCTGCAGAGTTTTGGATGATCTGCAGCTTGTGAAGAGAAGTGTTTGGAACGCCGATGCGAAGGGAGTTCCCGTAATCAAACCTTGAGGTGATGAATGCTTGGGTGAGGGTTTCGGCAGCCTGAGGGGTGAGGCAGTGGTGGAGTCTGGCAATGTTGTGGAGGTGGTAGTAGGCAGTGCTGATCATGGCGCGGATGTGGGGGAGAAAGGACAGTTCAGGGTCAAACAAGATACCCAGGTTCCTGACTGGCTTAGTGAGGTTGAGTGTGCAGCAGTGAAGGCTGATGCTGCCAGCGTCTGAGGTTCGGAGGCACTGGCGCGAATCAATCAGGAGGGCCTCGGTCTTGCTGATGTTGAGTTGGAGAAACTTGGCCCTAGTCCAGGACTTGATGTTGGACAGACAGTCGGTCAGGACCTCAGTAGTCCTGGAGTTCAGGATGGAAGCGGAGAAGTAGAGTTGGGTGTCATCCGCATACATGCGGAAATTTACCCCATGTCTGTGGATGACGTCACCAAGGGGGAGTGTATAGAGGGTGAAGAGGAGGGGACCGAGACAGAGCCCTGAGGAACACCGCACGAGACAGTGCTGGGGGAGGAGAAACCGTTTGTCACGACGAAGTGGAGGCGGTGTGAAAGGTCGGACCTGAACCAGTCAAGGACAGAACGTTGAAGGTTGAGGTGGGAGGAGAGGTGGTGGAGGAGGATTGAATGGTCCACTGTGTCAAAGGCGGCAGAGAAGTTAAGGAGGACGAGGAGGCAGAGGGAACCCTGGTGACACATGATCAGGATGTTGTTTGTGACCTTCACCAGAGCAGTTTCCGTGCTGTGGGCAGCACGGAAACCCGATTGGAGGGGTTCATGGAGGGAGTGAGAGGAGAGGAAAGAGCAAAGCTGGTAGGCAACAGCTCTCTCAAGGACCTGGATAGGAAGGGGAGATTTGAGATGGGCCGGTAGCTAAATAGCTGTGATGGGTCAAGGGAAGGTTTTTTCAAAGTGGGGGTGATAGTGGCTGTTTTGAGGGGGAAGGAACAGTGCCAGGTGACATGGAGAGGTTAATGAAGTCCTGCAATCCTGTCAGGAAGGCCTGGAACAGATGCACCATGTATTTGCAACATTTTATAATTATAAAGTTGGAAAACTGCTGGACAATATTTGCATGAAATTTACCAGGTACAAGAATAATTAAACACTGGCATTACTTTGATTTATTCACTATTTTACACACAGCCTGTGTTTCTGGAAGCTAAAATGGAAGTTCTCTCTGACCCACAAATGACCTTGGTCAATGTATTGCCAGGGTTTCCTGGCACTATACGATAGGCTTTGTTGTTAAGCGAATCTATTGTGGGAACTTTGTGGTCGTTGCAGAGTAACACATTTTTTGACAACATTACTATCTGACGGAGTTCAGCTTTTTTCAAATGTGCCAATTTGTTGTAAATAACTGAAACACAAGCTAAAAGGTAAAACAGTCAACACAACAGTGATAAATAATACTGAGGCTGCCTGGATTTGGGGGGAATGGTCCAAAGCTTTGTACAGGTCAAAAATTCTGAATATCCAATTCCATGCTTTCATTCTCTGATTTATATAAAATGGTTACATCTAAAGATTTCAATGTTGCCATTGTTGTTCTCAATCATGGAGAGCAATATTCCAGGATAGTTTCATTGAATACCTATCTAACTCAGGGTGATTGAAGTATGTGACCTAATGTCAAGCAATATTCTCCACAATTAGTGGCAGCACACCATTGGTGGGAACAAAGATGGCATGTATTATTGGGGGTCTAAAATTCAATATTTGCACTCTAGATTCAAGTACCCAATTGTGACATCCAGTTTGCGAATATAAGGAATATTTGCAAAAGTCTGAATCCCAAATTCCAAATCATCAATGCCCAAGAAAAGGCTGACAATCAAAGTAAGAACAGGTAGATTACAGCAGATGTTGAAAATCTGAATTAAAAACATGGGAACACGCAGCAGGTCAGGCAGCATCTTTGGAGAGAGGAAAATTAGTTAACATTTCAAGTCGATAACTTTTCATCAGAACTTGGGAATGTTGGAAGAGAGCAGTTTATAAGGACAAGCAGAGAAGGGGACGGGGAAAGAAAGACAAAGGAAAAATTTAGGTCCCCGATGTAGAGAAGACCACATCATAATCATCGAAGCAACAACTGTTTCTGTCGGTTTGGAAATAGTGATTTGTTGTTTTGCGAATTTCACAATCTCAAAATATTCACAAAATTCACAATATCCCCTCACCCTGACCATTTACCCCCTGCCCGGGTCCCGACCCAACTGTCCAGCACCTTGGGACGTCCTCCCGACGTGAAAGGCGCTCTATAAATGAAATCTTGTTGTTGTTGTTGTAAAGTCATAATTAGCAACTCAAATGCAGTTTGTGAATAGCACCAATACACATGCTGGAACAAAAATGACCGAAACAATTAATGTTGTCTCCACCAACACACTGTCATGTGTGGCATTCCCCAGGGCTCTGTCCTTGGTCCTCTTCTCTTTAATATCTACATGCTCCCACTTAATTATCATTAACTTCCTCATGTATGTGCATGACAGCTACTCTATCTCTCTGCCTTCACGCTCAATGCCAGGACTACTGCTGTGCTGACGGAGTGGCTGTCAAACATAAGGCTGGCTCCCGTCAGCACCTCCTGACCTTAGTTGCTGTCAAGATCACTAATCACGGATGCACTCTCCACCTCACCGAGTCAGTACGAAATCTTGGTGTCTTGTTCGACCTTTAACTGTCTTTTAAACCCCACACTCATGTTATAACCCATTCTGCCTTCCCCACCGCTGCAATATTTCTTGCTTCTGTCACTGCCTCTCCCCTCAGGCTGTCAAGATCCTCATCCATGTTTTAATACATCCAGGCTTGACTATGTTTATTCGCTGCTCACCAGACTTCCCAACTCTTCAATCCACAAGCTGCTGATTATTCAGAATTCTGCAGCTCATATCCTCTCCCGCACCAAGCTCTGTGAGCCAATCACCCCATCTTTGCCCAGCTCCACTGGCTCCACATCCCCCAGAGGATCAAGTTCATGATTCTTGTCCTCAACGTTAAATCCCTCCATTGTCCTGCCGCTCCCTACCTCTGTGACCTACTAAAACTTTGCCAACCTGTCCTCTTCTTCGCTCAGCAGGCAGTCACCCACTCCATGTCACCCATCGGTGATCAGGCCTTCAGCTGTTCTGCCCCCACCCTCTGCAACTCTATCTCAGAGCCCCTCCACCTCACCCCCTCTCTTGCCTCCTTCAAGGATCATCTTAAGACCTTTTTCTTTGATCGTGTCTTCAGTTATTCTCCCAGTTCCAGTTCCATTGCCCTCCACCCCTTTTGACTCCAACCCCCATCTCAGGCGCAAACTCTTCACTGTCCAATGCCTTGGGACATCCTCCCAACATGATAGGTGCTATATAAAGGCAATTTGTTCTTGTTAAATCTATTAAGACCAGAAACGTAATAGTGACAATACACTACAATGCTGATGTACCTGAGTTTGTACATGCACAGATACTGTATTTTATTAATGAGGTCATAGTTTCTAAAAAAAAAGTTGGCTTAAGGCAGTTTGATGGCATTAAAGTCTGCTTAATTTTCTTATTTTGGTTAAAATGATTAAATCAAAGTTATGATATATGCTATATTTTATATGTATCAATAAAGAACATAAATGTCAAAATTGACAAAAGGTGACAAAAAACACATTATGAAAAAAATAGACAGGGATTGTCTACCATTTGATAGTTCTTTATTTTCATTAATATTACAGTTTATGAACAACGAACCTCCTTACCAGCATACAATATTGCTGTGTATTTTTTAAAAAGATAATCACACATGAAAGCCCCATTTAATATAAGTGCACAGATAGTTGGGGTGTTTCTGGTAAATAAGAAAAACGTTTAGAAGCTTGTTCTTTATGATGCTATTATTCTGAGTACTGTGTTTACATTCACCATTAATTAATTTAAGTACTCACAGTGGAAGCAAATTCAACTAACTTATGACATTTTTACAAGTATCAGTGTTTTTTTTCCCCAAATCTTTTCCTTTTCTAAAGCCAGCAAACATTGCTTGCAAAATGATAATCTGATATTTGAACAATATTGGCTAATGAGTAAAAACAAGTTTGGACTGTTCCATACACTATGCCAATGTTCTTATATGTTTATGCAACAATTTTGAAAACAAATTATTACTGATACATTGATTCCAGATAAAATAGACGATAAACCCCACAACAAAATACACCATATTTTTACAGAATAAAACTGGATCTATGCTAATGCGTTAGAAGTGATTTATTTACAAAATTTTCTACCTTCTATTGGGTGATATATGTTTGCATTAGTGTTTTACTGCAGTTGTTTCAAAAAGCTGTGAAACAAACAGGTTGTACAATTCAGCGGGCTAGATTTTTCCAGTCAGTGGTATTTTTGAATCATGTTAAAGGCAGCAGTATTGTGATTTTGACTTTAGTTGTTGCCGTTGATAATGGACAAGGCCAGACAGACGCTAATCCCAGTACAATGAGTTGTTTTTGGCAGTCTCTTGGAACTGTTATTCAGCTATTGAGTTGCCTTGATTCCAGTAAGAACAAATAAAAAGGCCTAAACATATTACTTGGAAACAGACTGGTCACTGAACCCTACCCAACCAAAATCTTACCACATTGCAAAATTATGTGATAGGTTTGCCTTTAGTACCACCTCAGTAATATCCACTGCTGCTCAGCAAGAGGAAAATCTAGGTTTTTGTCTGTTATGCAGTTATTTGTAATAACTGCAATCATTAATTGCATTATGGAAGATAGAAAACATAGCAAACAAATAGTTTCTAATACAGCAGCATTATCTTAGGTTTAACATTTACATTATAATTTTAAGAATGTTTACATTTGTTCAGTGGAGGAAGAGTTTTACAAGTTTATTTCCTAAATTCAATAATTTTTAAAAAGAACAGTTTTCATTTCCAGTGAAGTACCCTACTTATACCCATTTTGGGAAAGATTCCACCGAAGATTGTATTATATCCCTTTCAAAGTATACGTTGAGCAAACAGAGAAGCTATTTCAGGGCAGTTACTTAAATGTTGACTTCAAGTTCACCAGAATAAAGGTTACATAATCTGGTTCCGATGGTGCAATGTACCCATAATTACATCATAAGGTGTACAAAGAAACATTCAGGAAGCGTCATTCCTTTACTTATGCAAACTGAAAAGCAATTATAGAAAAGAAATTATATCTCTAAAATGTGTCTCCTAAAACAGTGTAAATATGTCCTTGTGTCCTCAGTGAATATCAAACTGTAATTTTCATTCAGCTGCCAGGTTTTCTTCAAGGGTATGTGAGTTTTGCTGCAAAGAAACAAAGCAGAAGCATTCTTTAGGTTTAAAAATATAAACACTGTGTTCACGCTTCTGTAATGATAATGTAATCTCAGCATATTTACTTTTGAAAATGTGATGCACATTTGCTTATATGTAGCCATTGTTTATCAAAATAAATAACAACTATGACTCTTTAGATATTTGTGAGCAAAAAGTAACAATGCATGCAAACTGGTCTTCTTTACAGGCAAATGTTTAGACACAGCGTGAATTAATTTGATATTCATTTATGGTGATCAATATTGAAAGGAAACTTTGCTTTTGATAAGTTCTTTCTACCCTATTACCTGGCGTTAAATTACGTTGCAATAGTGTAACATTGCTAAGTCATAAAAAAACTTTTGTTATTTGTAACAATCGTGTTAATGGGGTTTCTACATGCAACAGTCAGTCATTCATTATCATCTTGCCATTAAATAGAAATTCTGCTGTTTACCTCTCATTTGATCGTAGCATGGTTCACAGTGAATCATTTGCCGATGAATCCACACACTTTGTCCAGCTTGTATGTCTTCCAGAGACTGACTGCAGATCTGACACTGTAACAAAAAAAGGTATACAAGTGTATTTATTCATTATTCTGTGCCAAACTATTCCTTTGCCACGAGCCTCTCAGCTACTCAGTGGCCCAGCAATTTGATGAAGCTGTATGCCTGTTACAATATAGTAGGATACACTTGGGCCTTCAACTCTACCAATGGTGAGATCTGGACTTTGGCCATGTTATTAGGGAGAGGTGCCCTTTAAGAGATTGTACAATGCCTCACAGTGGGGAAGTCAATTCAAGTCGCATTCAGAGAGGCCTGAGAGCATGTCTCCTGGTTAGAGGATCACCTATAAAATAATATTGGTACAGGGGACCTCACAAAAACTTGCATTTTTATATCACCTTTCACATTGGAAAATGTCTCAAATAATAATAATAATCATCCTTGCATTTGATATAGCGCTTTTCATGTCAGGAGGATGTCCCAAAGCGCTTCACAGAACACACTGTAAAGTGAATTGACTGTATATTTGTGGGCCAACGCGGCAGCCAATTGCGCACAGCAATGTCCCACAAACAGTCGTAGATTGAAAATGACCAATTTATTATTGTTTTTGGTTTTGGAAGGATTATTATTAGGCGTGTGGAGTAAGGAAACTTGCCCGAGGTTTCTCCCTGCCTGGAATTGAACTCAGGTCTCTCGCTTGCAAAGCGAGTGCTCTAACCACTGAGCTACAGGACTCCACAAAGTGCTTCACTCAGACAGTATGGAAACAATTCAGTAGTATTTTAGATAAATATAATGAAAAATTAACGCAATTATTAGTCTAGAGATTACACATCACTGGATTATTTGGTTTTCATCACTGGATTAGGATGCAAGATGTATCTATATTTGCACACAGTTATTACAGGGTCAATAATAATCAACTTCAAAGTTCAATTTAGATTGTTATGTGTTAATGTTACTTTTAACCTGTCTATAATATGCAATTTATTACTGCGTAAGACTGTTTCACACCTTAAAGCATGATGCATGGGTGTTCAGGTTCATGTCATCTATTATGATCCTTGGACTTAAGCTAATGGGCTTGAAGCAGTAACTGCATGCATTTGGATCGTTAGACGTCCTGCAAATAAAATGTGAGAGGTCAATATCAGGACAAATAATGGTGGAAATACATACGTTATCTGAAATTATACCATAGAATTAATGAATTCCCTAATGACACTAATATTGACAAGTTCTTATTAACAATTTTTTGTATTTAATATTTCAATAATCAAAAATAAGTTTTCAAAACATGTTTTGAATTGAAAATTAGTACTGCAACTAACAGTATGTTTTCTTACTTACTTTTCAGCAACACTGAAAGCAGTAGTTATTACTCTTGTTTGGAGGTTGTTCGGTGGGTCTGACCGAAGAGAAGAACTATGGAAGCAGAAAGGGTCAGATGCATTATTTAGTTTGTTATAATCATTTAATTCATGCATTTAATTTTCCAAAATGTATATATTTAGCTCCTCAGTTGCCTAATAGCACATAACGTCCCATCTACAAAAATAACTTGCAATTATACAACGCTCTTCATGCGAATAGCATCTGAGCACATTCAAGAACCAAAGTGAAATGTGGACCTTTTTTAAAAAAAACCTCACTGCCCGAGTCAAAGCATATTAACAGCTAACTTTTTGGTACTTAGTATATATTGCATTTAAATTGCTTTGGAATCAGTATCTGATATCATTGAATGATGATCAAGTTGAAGCATGTAAATACCTAACAATAGTAATAATAATCCTTGCATTTGGTATAGCACCTTATCATGTCATTGAGATGTCTCAAAGTGCTTCACAGGATATACTGTAAAGTAGATTGACTGTGTATTTTGTAGGCAAAACATGGCTGTCAGTCTCAGTGCAGAATTACACTTCTACTTTTTGTTCCAATCAGATCTCATCTGTTTATAAATGAGCACATTTTCCAAAGTCAGAGACACTTTAATAAGCAAAGAAGATTGATAACTAATGATTCCTGCCGGTTCTGGATGTTCTGTAGACCAAACCTCCTACTCCACATAGATGATGATCCCAGTTGTGACTTTTCATGAAATTATACTGTGACATTTAGGACCAGCTGGAGAACAGAGTCGAAGCTCAATGAGAGAATTTGGTCTGACATACACTGGAATATCAGCAAGCACTGTTTACTAATCCATTTGTGAATGTTGGCAAATTAAACTCTATGTGGATGTTTTAAAGTTTTATGTCAAGTTTCACTTCCTTGAAAATACATTATTACTATGCTCACTTTGCATCAGAAATTAAGGTCAAATGGAATGCATACTAAAGCATTTTCTAATTGTTCATATAATGAAAAAAATCCTTGCATTTTATATAGCGCGTTACACATCATCAAAGCACTTCATAGAATTTACTGCAAAGACTGCAAATAGGACAAACAGTTTGGGCAAAGTGAAGTGAATGATCAATTTTAACTGGAGGATTGTTGGCCAGGACTTCCTGGGAGAAACTTCCTTCTCTTTTCCAGTTATGCCATGGTAATTTTAACAACATTTTAACACGCAGAAGGAACCGCAGTTTCAAGTCTCATCTGAAGGACAATGTGGCTCTCCTCCAGCACTGCAGTGTGAGCTTAGACCACGAGTGCAAACTCCTGAACCCATAATCTTCTCAGAGGTAAGAATGCTACCAACTGAGCTAGTCTGACACCTGATATACATGGAGCAAAATCATCTGATACTCATAAAGTGCTGCAGGAAGCGGTCAATACTTGTTAGTCCTACTTGAGCAGAAAGAGTAGCTTGGTGATTTATTCAGCCATTCACCATTGTCAAAACCATTCTCAATCATAGAACTAAATTAATACACAATTTATCTTTAACTGTATACATTTGTAATTGGCATCTCAACAAGATATATTCTGCACCATGTATTTTTAGTCCATAGATTAAAGACACAAATACAATGAATTTGTTTAGCGTATCTGCCATCCTTTGGTCACTCAGTGACGTGTAACATTGGTGTTTTATTTACAATATTCACAAAGGGTTCGGTAAATGGCACATGTATTTTGGCTGGTCCTCTGAAATGCCCTTGGTTACTATTCTCAGGTCCCAATTCTGTTACTTCAACATTTGAGCTGAGTTCCAGAGAGTCCAACTGCACAACACTCTGTGTAAAGAAGTTCCTCCTAAATTCTCTTTTAGACTATTAGTGACTCTCTTTTATTTGTGCATGTACAGTAAAGTAAAATTAGGATGAGGGCAAAAAGAAAAACACACAATAATATTGTTGGTGTTGCAGTTACATTAGGCATCTGAAAGTTGTTATGTAAATTGCAAAGGGATTTGCCCTTCATTTGCCTCAAATGCAAGGATTAAGCCTAACTTGGAGTTTGAGCTGTGGTCTGACAAGTTGCACCAATTAATAATTCTCACATTATTTAGGAAGCACAATAATGTTGGTATAGACCAAAAAGTTGCAATTTAAATAACAAAATTATTATCAGTGTATGTTAAAATAAAAATGATTCTAATATAAGAAACGTTTATAGATTTGATCAAAGTATTTTCATACTCAGAATAAGAAGAAAAATCCCATTTTTCTCTCAGTTACAACTGAGATGCACATTAATTTGAATCCAATGCTGATTTTCACACAGGAATGTGAAAACTAATATGCGAATGATTTGGATTGAACAATACTGGTGGATTAAGCACTCTGAGATGCTACCCTGCGTGCAAACTGTTGTTGTTGGATTTATATGATGGAAAGTGCAAATGGCCCATTGTTGTAGCTCTTTGTATGTTATATGTTATCAGACTTTTAATCATGTTTTCCCTCCCCATCCGCCCTTGGTTCCCATCCCCAACACAGGTGCCAATCTAACACTGTTAACACATTCTGATGTGAAAGGGTCTGTCTAAATGTAAATTGTCCTGTGTTGTAATATGCTCACGTTGAGTTTCTGTTCTCCGGTTCATAGGTTGGTTTAGTGAATGATTTTTTCTTGTTTCCTCCATTGATTCTATAAAGAGAGTGGGGAAATCATTAATATATTTTTTAAATACTACATTGTGAATTATAGTGACAATATGGAACCTAAATTTTGTAATATTTCAACTACAATTAGAGGCATAGATGAGATTATTATTTCAGGATCCGTTACTGTAAAGCGCTTTGAGACGCCGTCCGGCGTGGAGGGCGTTATATAAATCCAAATTGTTGTTGTTGTTGTTGATCATGCAACAGAAATACATTGTCATTTCATGAGCATTCCTGATAAGTGAATGCAATTTATTAACAAACATGAAATTGACAAATTGGAATAGAATTAAGCAATTGTATTGATACAAAACTCTGTTGTTTCACACAGTACCTTGAGCTTTTTGGATCATACGTTGTTTTTGTGGTTGTAGTGGGGTAAGGGCTAATATTTTCTGAATTATCCTCCTGATCTGAGACATCACTGTTGAATAAAAAGGGAAACAAATTAAATGTTGAAATGCTGACTTGCAAGTTGTACTTTGTTTGTTTTAAAAAGACAGATTAGGCCCTCCCAGCATTTTTTTCTCATAACCTCCTCAGTTCACACATCTTCCGTTGGCCAAAGGTACTAATTGGGGGCCTATTCCGTAAGCTTCCTCTCCCTTCTGAAGCCTTATAACTGGAATGACCTGAGAAGACTGGCCCTTCCATTTTCATTCACAAATGATAAAGTATCTGGCTCTCTGCAGTACCACTGTTAAGATCGGCAGGTCATTGTATAGGTAACCAGAGATGTGAGTTGCTCACCTACAATGCACAGGATATATACTTGGTGCTCCAACTCACTGTACCATGTATTTTATGCAATGCTCCTTCATTTTAATCAACTGAGCAGAGGGCTGATTTCAGCCAACAATTCATCATTGGCAAAATATACAGTCAATTCACTTTACAGTATATTCTGTGAAGCGCTTTGAGATGTCTCGAAGACGTGATAAGGTGCTATATCAAATGCAAGGATTATTATTATTAGATAGACTTTGCCTGCCCTTGGTTGTATTTTTTTGATTTATCTAACAAAATAGCTAGCCTAAAGATAATAAAGTCAGCAACAACAAAATTTCAACAGAGAGCATATCCCACTTAGATAAATTCATGCAGAGGAGGGGTGTTAGAGTTTGAGGGAAAAGAGTAGGGAATCGGTATTAGGAAGGAAGGCTTTATCAGAAGAGCAAACTCCAAAGGTTGAATGGCCCTCAATTCCTAATTCAAAGGGTTGAATAGCCTCCAACTTTGTTGTAGTTTTTGTGTGGTTCTATAGTCATTCATTACATATTCACTTAAATGAAAACATTAATAAAAGTAAAACAGATACAGACTGAGAAGATTTTACAAATAATAACATACATCAAGTCTTTTGAATATGGATCACTTTTGGTTTGAGTTTTAATGAATGGTTTGATCTTATCCAAGTCTTCAGTGCTGTTGTCAAAAAGAGAAAGAAAAATTAAGTGTATTTCAAAGTCATAATGTAAATCAATTCAAAGAAAGAAAGAACTAGCATTTTACAGTGCCTTATGGAGTATTTTTCAGATCATTCAGACTTCCAATTTTTACCGACGAGATTGGAGTTCTTCAAACAAGGAGGAAAAAATTGATTTAATCATAATTTCAACATTTATGGAATTCGATATTTTTCATATCTGAATGAAAAGAAACTCAAATATTGGGGTATCAATATTAAATATTTTTACTGAGAATACCCATACAGATGATAGTATGGTCAAATTTGCCACCAGAGCTGGTTACATTTTTCTGAATTAAAAAGAAAATACAAAGTTATATAGCACCTTTTATGTCGGGAGGATATCCCAAGGTGCTTAACACTGGGATGGCATGTGAGCTGTGAGCCGAAGGGGTGGGAAGGGGTAAAATGACTTAGAGAACAGTATATCTGACGGAATGGAGTAATAGCTGTTGACTTTGCCTGCTCTCCATTAATGATTCTCTTAGCAAAATCAATGTGTGTCCTTAATTATACTTCATCTTGACAGTCACTAACTAGTTTAATTCCAGCTGCACAAAGATTTCTTGATACCCCAAATGCCATCTAGTCTAAGCCTGCAAGACCTTCTTGTCTTAAAATTAAGATTGTGCAGAATTATGGAAAATTCTTAAACTCTGTCTTAATTTAGAAGTTAATTATTTTTTGAAGAACTGTGGGGAAGGCTGACTTGTGAATTAAGAGACTTGCTCCACTCAAGAGCCTTCTACTTCTGGAACAACCGCATTGCACCCAGAAAGCATTTCTCTGCCACTAGTTGGGAAAATAAAGTGTCACATTTTTCTACATGTGTTTCATCTCCAATCTTATACAGACATTTTATTGTTTTAATTGTCTGATTCCAGTCACAATGTTCTCTCATATTAGAATAAAATTGTGCCACGAAGTCTCATGGCATGACCATCTCTTGAAAAACAAAATGGAATCATGAGATTTTCAAGATATTAAATGTTCCCATATAAATTAGTATATTACCATGTTATTTTTAACATACACCATAGTTTTCATATTCTTTACTCCTCTATCACAATTTGAATTGAAGTACCAAAGAAGTAGGTCAAATTGTAGTATTGTCAAAAATTTGGCAATGTTGAGTGTTTGTGAAGTACTCATCCTCTGTTTCAGGATTTGACTCCTTCCGAGTCCTTACTTAGTTTCCTTCATTAGGAATTCGGTAGAAATCACCATCCAATTAAATTATACAGATTTTCCAAATCACAACCAATTCTATGTTTAGAGAGGGCAAGAGATAGCTCATTTAATATAAATCGGAGATGATAAAAGTTTAATTCAAACACTAGGAATCCTGGCTAATAATTGACTGCCAACTGAAAGGAGGATCAAGACAATTTGAAAACAGACGCATTTTTTCTAAAAGTTCCAACAAACAATACAAGAAAAACAAAAGTCAGCAAGTACACATCTATTAGGAGTACCCTCAGAATCTATACAGATAATAATCCTTGCATTGATACAGTGATGTCAAAAGGATTGCAACCAATTCACAGGTAATTGCAATTAAATCTGGTGACTCTATTTGTAGGCAAATACTTGAAGCTAGTTTTCCCACAAACAGCCATGAAGTGAATAATCAATTTATCTGGACAATGACTGGCCAGAATATGGTGAAAAATTCACTTGTCTTTCGAACAGTATTATGAGAATCAAAGGCTTTAGGAAGTTGTAAGGAATGGGCGAAGACTTATGTGGACAACCTCCCAATGTGAAAGCTGCAATTTGTTGTTATTGTATAAACATTGACAAAGACTGGTCAGGCCAAATGATTTGTTTCTATGCTATACAATCTGTATAAATCTATGGGATATTCAATATCAATCTCCATTACTGTTATGCACTTCGAGACGCTACCCCATATGAAGAACACTAAATAAAATCAAGTTGTTGTTGATCTGAACATGGAGATGGATCCTCCATGTAACATTTCATCTGAAGGACATCATCTCTGATAATGAGGCACTCCCCAGCCTCACAATCTTCCTGACATTGGAATGTCAGCCTAGACTGTAGGTTCAAACTCCCAATGTGGGGTTTGCACCTACAACCTTCTGCCTCAGAGGTAAACTCAGCCAAGCTGACAGAGAGAAGGGAAATGGCAGAACCTTGACCTGAGGATGTACATAATATTACTAACTGCATTATTGCCACCACCAAAATTATAGCTGCAGTGAGGGCACTGCAGGCCTTACCTGTTCCTTGTTTCCTCCGTATTGGGTGACAGATCAATCAAATACGGAGTTTCAGCAACCGGTGTTCTTTAAATAGAGAAAGATATTCAGGCAATTTTCCAGCGATTTGTTCAATGTATAGTTATTAAAATAAGTGATACTCAATATCCTGAAATCCAATACTATTACACAAGAGAGATTCCTGTGATTTATTAGATGATATTCTTCTAGAGCACCTACTATATTGTTCTCCCATTACAGCATCAAGGATTTCTTAAGTCCAGCATTCTGGCCTCAACCACCCTTCCTGGGAACCTGTTCAAGCTATTAATTATCTTTTGTGTAAAGCGATACAGAACTAACTAAACTCAGACAATTGTGCTCCAATGGCAGATTTAACCAGTGCTCATATGCATTTTACAGACTAACTACTAACTTTTAATATTTAACTTACTTTTAGGCCTTTTGTACTTGTCCGGTTGTACATTTTACTGTTACATTAGGCAAGTTGTTATCATATATAGACACCAAGCAACTTTTAGTTAAACAGATTAATCGTAAAGCATCCAATAACCACAAACTTACTAACAAAACACAATCATAACTATTGATATTATTCATATATTAAAACCTAGCAAAGGTAAAGTTACTATTAGAAAGTCAATGTGTTTTGACTGTTTTCCTAGGATTGGTCTAACTGATGCCTTTTGGATGCATCATTCTCTAGACTAGAGGATTGCAAATAAAACAACAGGCTGTGAATTTTGGTAACTATGGAAGAAGACAAGTGTTTTTCTGATTCACAAATATCACAGTTGTCAACATAAAGTTAGGATAAGAGTTACTACAATAGCCTTACTTTCCATTCAAAGAATCTTTTGAAATCCATGATGTTCTGGGGTTCGTAGGAGTTTCGTCTTTTGGAAGAATCCCCTTTATCACTATCCTGTCAAATGCAATTTACAAAATGTTAGCTTCTTCACTGGTTGATGGATTATTCAGGTCAGGTCGATGCCCCCAAACAAAATGATTTGTAAACAAAAGCAAAAAGATTCTTCGCAATTTGAAGAGGCCAGAGTGGAGAAGGATCGACAGGTGATTGATATTCATAATAGTTCACAAATGGCAACAAAATTGCAGCATTTCATAATGAACCGATGATATCAAATCAACTATGTATCTTATTACACCCCATAAACAGATAAATTACTTTCAATTTGACATTAACACAATTAATGGTAGCAATAATAATAAATATTAATGTAACCCCTAGGGGAAACCAATATGAAACTAGTCAATTTACATCTTACAAATAATTAACAGTACATATTATAAGCATTAATATGACATCTTACAAGCAATTAACTTTAAACTAAGCACTTACGGCTTTGCGGGTTCTTCAACCTTCACTGAAGGGGTCCTATAACTGCTTCAAAAAGAATCATGCATTAAAGCAGCACTCACAAATATATATGTTCAATAAATATTTACACTTCACAGTAAAATCATATGAAACACTTTGAGACATTTCAATGAGATGATAAGGCTACATATCAAACATAAAATGTTAATTGACACAATCAACATATAAGGAGAAATGCATGATATGTGATATTAATAATTATCATAAGGTAGAGAATGTGTAGTCCTTTTTATCCAGTACTGAAGGACTGGTTGGGATTGTTGACCCCTCCAAACTGCGTGAGAATGGTTTCTCCCTCCAGTCTATTCAGACGGGATTGCTCCTATCCTGGATTCTTTTTAAAAAAGTGGTACCGGTGTTTAGCTTTTGGGTGGTGGAACCGCCTTTTACTTTATTTTTCAGTTTTAGATTTATTTTGAGCCTGATATACAATACAAAATTACATTTGTAAAGCATCTTTCAAGTTGGGAGGATGTGCCAAGGCACTGAACAGTCAGGGATTCGGACTGAACGGCGGGGGTGGGGGGAGTCAGTTGGGGTGGAGGGTAGAGGGGGTAGGAGGGTAACCAAAGGCACGGTCGAAGAGGAGGGTCTTGAGGTGTGCCTTGAAAGAGGCAATTGAGGGAGCGAGGCAAAGGGAATGTGGGATTAAGTTCCAGAGGGTGGGGCAGAGAGGCTGAAGGCCCGACCATCGATGGTGGGGCGGGCTGGGTAGGAAACATGGAGCAGGCCGGAGTCTGCTGAGCGGACATAGCGGTTAATAAGGGGTTAGCAGGTCGGAACCTGGTTGTAATGAAGGCATGTATGAGGGTTTGGTGGCCTGAAGGGTGAGGCAGTGGAGGAGTCGGGCAATATTGCAGAGGTGAGGGAAGGCAGAGTGGGTCATGGCATGGATGTGGGGGAGAAAGGACAGTTGAGAGTCAAACAAGACACCTAGGTTCCTGACCGGCTTGGTGAGGTGGAGAGTGCATCCTTGGAATCTGATGCTGCCAGTGCCCAAGATTTTGAGTCGCTGGTGCAAGCCAATCAGGAGGGCCTCAGTCTTGCTGACCTCAACTGCAGAAAGTTGGCTCTCATCCATGACTTGATGTCTGACAAGCAGTCTGTCAGGACAGCAGTGGTCCTGGAGTTGAGGGTAGAGGCATAAAGATAGAGTTAGGTGTCATCCACGTACATGTGGAAGTTGACCCCATGTCTGCAGATGATGTCACCAAGAGGAAGCATGTACAGGTTGAAGAGGATAGAGCCCCGAGGAACACAAGACAGTGTGGGGACTGGAGCAGAAGCCATTTGTGGCAACACAGTGGGGCCAATGTGAGGGATAGGATCTGAATCATTCAATGATAGAAATTTCTCATGAAGAGGACAACCCCATCTAGTGGGATCATAGAATTAAAAAAACCATACCACAACGTAACATTCGACAATGGCCCTGTTTGTGGTGATTGACTCACTAAAGGTGATATTTTAGATTTTAAATATTGCTTTAAACAGAACTTTATCAAAAGGCATTTGATAAAGTGCAATTCTCCCCTTTGTTTTGCATTATCGTGTCTAATAAACCTGCTAGAGTTTTTCAGTGAAGTAACAGAGAGGTGGATGAAGGTAGTGCAGTTGATGTAGTTTATATGGATTTTCAAAGGGCGTTTGATAAAGTGCCACATAAGAGACTTGTACGCAAAATAGAAGCCCACAGTATTAAAGGGACAGTGGCAGCATAGATACAGAACTGGCTGGGAGACAGAAAGCAGAGAATGGTGGTGAACGGTTGTTTTTCTGACTGGGCGGAAGTGTGCAGCGGTATCCCCCAGGAGTCGGCACTAGGACCACTGCTGTTTTTGATCTAAATAAATGACCTGGACTTGGGTATAGGGAGTACAATTTCCAAGTTTGCAGATGATACTAAGCTGGGAAAAGTAGTAAACAGTGAGGAGGATAGCAGCCGACTGCAAGAGGACATTGACAGACTGGTAAAATGGGCAGACACGTGGCAGATGAAGTTTAATGTGGAGAAATACAAAGTGATGCATTTTGGGAGGAAGGATGAGGAGAGACAACATCAGCTGATGGTACAATCTTAAAGGGGGTGAAGGAACAGAGAGACCTGGGGTTCATATAAGTAAATCTTTGAAGGAGACAGGACAGGGAGATAAAGCTGTTAAAAATGGATATGGAACACTAGGCTTTATACATAGGGTCGTGGAATACAAAAGTCAGCAATGTATGATGAACATTTATAAAACACTGGTTAGGCCTCAGCTAAAGAACTGTGTTCAGTTCTGGGCCCCACACTTTAGGAAGGATGTCAAGGCATTGGAGAGGGTACAAAGGAGATTTATCAGGATGGTACCAGGAATGAGGGACTTCAGTTATCAGGAGAGGCTAGTGAAGCTAGGATTATTCTCCTTGGAGCATAGAAGGTTAAGAGGAGACTTAATAGAATAACAGAAGTTTTTAAAATTATGAGGGGATTCAATAGGGTGAACAAGGAGAAAGTATTTCCGTTATCGAGTGGGTTGATAATCCGAGGACACTGATTTAAAATAATTATTAAAAGAAACAGAGGGGAGGGGAGGAGAATTTTTTTTTAACACAGCGTGTTGTTCAGATCTGGAATGCATTGCCTGAAAGAGTGGTGAAAGCCAATTTGATGACAACTTTTAAGAGAGAAGTAGATAATTATTTGGGGAGGACAGGTTTGCAGGGCTATGGTGAAGGAGCGGAATCAATTTGGACAGCTATTTTAAAAGAGCTAGCACAGACACAATGGACCAAATGGCCTCATTCTGTGCTGTAAAATGATTCTAACATAACTGCAGTGGCTATACGTTGTTATTCATTGTTTATAAGTCACTAGGATATCAGCTCACAGATCAAATTCAGCTCACAAGAGTCCTGCGCAATATAATTTTTTCTCCAAATTTGCCAAACAACAAATTCAATTGGATTATTCAACTCAATGGTATTTGGTGAAGCATTGCTAGTATAGATTAGCTGCCACATTTATCTACATAACAATTGCAACACTTCAAAAGTAAATCATGGTTAGTGCAGACTTTTTGAGAATTTTTGACACATTTAGATAGTACCGCACCATAATAAGATGCTTTGTTACAGGACTGATTCACTTAATGTGAATGGGGGTGGACCCCATTCGTTGTACATGCCTGGAGCTGGCTAGGTTGGCTCCCACATACCAGCTGATTCCTGTGTTAAGCTGGCTGACTTCCAAGTTATTAGGCAGCTGTCAATGTCACTTGCAGTGAGCTGTACGTTGGCTTCCTGTTACAGTATCAATCTGTTTCTAAAATACCTATCCTGTTCCTTAACACCTCTCCTGGTAAGCTGTTCAAGCTGTTGATTACCCTTCATGTAAAGATATACTTTCTAATAACTTTCCTAAAATTGCCTTTCACAACCCTTTCACAAATATTAAATTTTCACACAGGAATATTCCTCTACCTAAAAGGTATTTTATTATTACTTGTACAGGAAAATAATTGACAAGATTGCAGCTTTTTTCAGCAGCAAACACCATACAATGATTGCACTCAATGATATCTTGAGAGCGAATGGCTGCTGCCATATAATGGCAATAACATGAATATTTTCCATTTCTTTTCACTAAATTATATCCTTGAGTTGCAACAGACACCATGGTTGTGCTGAGAGGCCACATGAATCGACAAATCCATTTTTTAAAAAATTCCCAAACGTATTAAACTCAAGAATTTTGACCTAATATCTTACTTGGACAGCAAAACAAGCACCTATCTCTAGAAGTTAAGGTGCTAGTTTTACCTCATGGATGTCATTAGAAAATATTGTAATAAAAACATAACTTTTCTGGTGTAATAAACTTTAATAACATTGAATATTCCCACCTGCTGGGAGTCTTGACAGTTGGGGAAGAAGGTTGGTTGGTGGGAAGTTTTTCAGTGGATCCCCAGAACGGCCTGTCATTTAAGCAAAGAATTTCACCAGTCAGTTTTGATGATGATAGAAGATTCAAACAGCAAATTTAAACAAACAACAGCAGCAGCATTTATATAGCGCCCTTTACACAGGGTAGTGTCCCGGAGCGCTTGACAGTAATGGAGTCTGACACTGAGCTGGGGGAGAAGGGAGGTGACCGTGAGCACGATCGAAAAGGAAGTTCTTTAAGTGGGATTTGAAAGTGGGGAGAGAGGGGACAAGGCTGAGGGGTTGAGGGAGAGAGTTCCAGAGTTTTGGGCCGTATTGGCTTAAGGCACAGCACCAACAGTGGAGCGAAGGACACGAGAAGCAAACAGGAGGCTGGAGCCAGCCGAGCGGAGGCTGTGGGTGGTGGAATGTGGGCTAAGCAATTTGGATAGGTAAGGAGGTGCAAGGGAATGAAGGGATTTGAAAACAAGTGAGAGGATCTTGAAACCTATCCATTCAATAATTGGGAGCCAGTGGAGCTTGGCAAGCAGTGGTGTGAGGGGGTACCTAGTTTTGTGTGTTTTGTGGTTTAGTAGCGACAACCTGAGGAGTGAGTTCAATGAACTGGGAATGAAACTAAAAGGAAGAACTTCCAAGGTAATAATCTCTGGATTACTACCGGAGCCATGCGCAAATTGGTACAGGGACAAACAAATTAAAGAGTTAAATACGGGGCTGAAAGAATGGTGCGGGAGGCAGGGGTTTCATTTTATGGGCCACTGGCACCAGTAATGGGGGAAAAGGGAGCCGTTCCATCGAGATGGGCGACACCTTAACCTGGCTGGGACCAATGTCCTGGCAAAACAATGAAATAGAAAGATAGGCAGAGCTTTAAACTATTTAATATAATAATAATAATAATAATAGGGGGTTGGGAGGGAGATTTAGAGCTACAGTTAAACATAAACCGACATTGCAAGGAACAGTTATGGCTGTAGAGCACAGTAGCGACTTGGGAGATAAAGAATAGAGTGTAGGGACAAAAAGCTCAACAAAGGAAATAGGATATGAATGAGTAGGTGTAATAGTAAGAGGCCAAAATTAAAGACACTATATCTGAATGCATGAAGTATTCGTAACAAGATAGACAAATTAACTGCACAAATAGGCATAAATGGGTACGATCTCGTGGCTATTACTGAGACGTGGTTACAGGGAGACCAAGGGTGGGAGCTAAACATTCTAAGATATTCGACATATAGGAAAGATATGCAATACGGAAAATGAGGTGGGGGGGTAGCCCTGCTAATAAAAGATGAAATAAAAACAGTAGAGAGAAAGGATTTTAAATCAGAAAATCAGGATGTAGAGTCAATATGGGTGGAGGTAAGGAACAACAAGGGACAGAAAACACTAGTGGGTGTAGTTTATAGAACCCCAAACAGCAGTTACAGTATTGCGCAGGGTATTAATCGGGAAATTAGAGGAAAATATTAATGGGAGTGGTTTATAGACCCCCAAATAGTGATCACAGTATAGCACGTAGGAAAGGTAAAGTGATAATAGTGGGTGATTTCAATCTCCGCATAGATTGGGAACACCATATCGGCAAAAGTAGGTCAGAAGAAGGGTGCATGAGAGATAACTTTCTAGAGCAGCATGCCAAGGAACCAACCAGGGGTCAGGGCATCCTAGACCTTGTTTTGTGTAATGAAACAGGGCTAGTTGGCAGTGTAGGTATTAAGAATCCTCTCGGGCAGAGTGATCACAATATGATTAAATTCTGCATTAAGTTAGAGAGGGATATAGTTAAATCCGAGGCAAGTATTCTGAATTTAAATAGGGCTAATTTTGTAGGTATGAGGAAAGGTTTAGGTAAAATAGACTGGAGAATAAGATTAAGAGGTAAAAATGTAGACCAACAGAGGCAAATATTTAAGGATGTAGCACAAAATTCTCAGCGTTCCACAGGGAAAGCAATTCATCCGTAGCTAAATAGAGCAGTTAGGGAAAGCATCAAATTAAAAGAAAAGGCTTATAAAACTGCCAAGAAAAGCAGCAAATCTGAAGATTGGGAGAGTTTTAGAAACCAGCAAAATAAAACTAAAAAACTCATTAAGAGCGAAAAAAAAGAATTATGAGGGTAAGCTAGCGAGGAACATTAAGTCTGATTGTAAAAGTTTCTACAAATATATTAAGAGGAATAGGCTAGTGAGGGTAACTGCAGGTCTACTTCAGTCAGAGACGGGAGAAGTTGTAATGGGGGATAAGGACATGGCAGAGTCCCTAAATGGGTACTTTGCATCTGTCTTCACCCTAGAAGACACAACAAGTCTGCTAACAATAGAGATACACCAAGGGGATAAGGACAGGGAGCAACTTAGGGAAATTTTCATTAGTAGAGAATTGGTGAAGGGAAAGTGTTAGCACCAAAAAGTGACAAATCCCCTGGTCCGGATGGCTTGCATCCCAGGGTTTTAAAAGAGGTAGCTTATGAGATGGTGGAGGCCTTATGTCTGATCTTCCAAAATTCCTTGGATTCTGGAACAGTCCCCATGGATTGGAAGATCGCAAATGTCACACCACTATTTNAAAAAGGTGGAAAGGAAAAAATGGGGAACTATAGGCCAGTTAGTCTCACATCAGTGATAGGAAAAATTTTAGAATCATTGATTAAGGATGTGGTAGTGCGGTATTTAGGGGAGCACAATATAATTAGGCCAAGTCAACATGGCTTTACAAAAGGGAAGTCATGTTTGACAAATCTCATAGAGTTTTTTGAGGATATTTCCAGTAAACTAGATAAGGGTGAATCAGTGGATGTGGTCTATTTGGACTTCCAGAAGGCATTCGATAAGGTGCCGCATAAAAGGTTAGTCCAAAAGATAAGGGCCCATGGAATTGGGGGGAGCATATTAACGTGGATTGGGGAATGGTTAACGGGTAGGAAACAAAAAGTAGGGATAAATGGGTCCTTTTCAGATTGGCGGGATGTGACAAGTGGAGTGCCACAAGGATCAGTCCTTGGGCCTCAGCTATTTACCATCTACATCAACGATCTAGATGAGGACATCGAAGTTAATATATCTAAATTCGCGGATGACACAAAACTAGGAGGAAGTGTCAACACAGAGGACGACATTAAAAAAATGCAGCGAGACATAGATAGGTTAGGTGATTGGGCAGGTAGGTGGCAGATGAAGTATAATGTAGGGAAGTGCAAAGTCATCCACCTCGGTAGCAAAAACAGTAGAGCGGGTTATTTTTTAGAAGGGGAGAGATTGGAATGTGTTAGTGTCCAGAGGGACTTGGGTGTCCTTGTACACCAATCACAGAAAGTTAGTCTGCAGGTGCAGCAGCAATTAGGAAGGCGAACGGTATGTTAGCATTCATTATGAAAGGATTAGAGTATAAGAGTAGGGAAGTCTTGCTGCAACTGTATAGGGCCCTGGTGAGACCACACCTGGAATACTGTGTGCAGTTTTGGTCTCTTTATTTAAGGAAGGATGTACTTGCCTTGGAGGGGGTGCAGCGTAGATTTACTAGGTTAGTACCAGGGATGAAGGGGATGAGTTACGAGGATAGGCTGACCAATTTGGGCCTATATTCTCTAGAATATAGAAGAATTAGAGGGGATCTTATAGAAACCTATAAGATCATCAAAGGGCATGATAGAGTAGATAGTGGGAGATTGTTTCCCCTGGTTGGAGAAACTAAACCCAGGGGTCACAACCTTAAAATCAGAGGCCAGCCCTTTTGCACTGAGTTGAGGAAGAACTTCACTCAAAGGGTGGTGAATGTATGGAACTCACTATCTCAAAGGGCTGCTGGCACTCAGTCCTTGACATACTCAAGACTGAGATAGATTTCTTATTGCAAAAGGGATTAAGGGATATGGGGATAAGGCAGGGTTAGGTTATCAGCTGGAGTTAAATTAGAAGATCAGCCATGATTGAATGGCCGGGCCGGCTCGAAGGGCTGAATGGCCTACTCCTGCTCCTACATGTTATGTTATATTATGTAAATTTGTGGACAATATGAAGATAGGTGGGAGAGTAAGCTGTGAGGATGACACAAAGAATGTAAAGGGAAATAGACAGGCTAGGTGAATGGGCAAGAAGGTGGCAGATGGAGTATAACGTGGGGGTGTGAAGTTATTCACCTGGGTAGTAAAAATAGAAAAGCGGATTCTTTTCTGGAGTGGGAGAGACTAGGTAGTGTTAGTGTTCAGAGGAATTTGGGTGTCCTTGTACACCAGGTCACAAAAAGTTAGTATGGAGGTACAGCAAGCAACTGGGAAGGCTAATGCCATGTTGGCGTTCATTATAAAAGGGTTAGAGTTCAAGAGTAGGGAAGTCTTGCTGCAGTTGTATAAGGCCTTGGTGAAACCACACCTAGAATACTGTGTGCAGTTTTGGTCTCCTCATTTAAGAAAAGATATACTCGCTTTAGAGGGGGTGCAGCGTAGATTCACTAGGTTGGTTTCTGGGATGAGGGGATTAACCTATGAGGATAGGTTAGTAAACTAGGCCTATATTCTCTAGAATATAGAAGAATTGGAAGTGATTTTATAGAAACCTATAAGATTCTTAAGGGTCTTTACAGGGTAGATGTCATGAGACTGTTTCCCCTGGTTGGAGAATCCAAAACTAGAGATCATAGTCTCAAGATTAAGGGTCAGCCTTTTCGAACTGAGTTGAGGAAACATTTCTTCACTCAGAGGGTCGTGAATTTGTGGAATTCTCTACCCCAGAAGGCTGTGGATGCTCAGTCCTTGAACATATTCAAGACTGAAGTTGATAGAGTTCTAAAATATAGAGGGATTAATGGATATGGGGATAGGGTGGGTAAATGGAATTAGGTTAGAAGATCAGCCATGATCTTATTAAATGGCGGGGCAGGCTCGAGGGGCCGAATGCCCTACTCCTGCTCCTACTTCTTATAATAATAATAATCCTTGCATTTGATATAGTGCTTTTCACATCTTCTAAACGTCTCAAAGCGCTTCACAGAATATACTGTAAAGTGAATTGACTGTATATTTGTGGACAAAATATATAGTCAATTATGGTTTTATGGTGTGGGTGGGTGAGTATGGCAGAGTTTGAATTACTTGAATTTTGTGTATGGTGGAGCAGGATAAACCAGTGAGGAGTCTTTAATAACCTGTCAACTAGAAATGGTCACTCATGTTGTCATCAATCAGGTACTATCACAGTGCATAGAAGATGGAGCTAATTAAAGAAATTCAACATATCTATTTTAACAACTTATTACAATTGCATACAAGAAAGGGGAGAGAAAAACAATTTTATCAATTTGTTGCACATTGTGATGCATTGAATTTAATAAAATATTCATCAAAATCTAATGCAACTAAACATACATTCGTCACTGCAGAGGATAGCCCTCTCTAGTGGAATCTCAGCATGAAGAATTGAATTAATCTACTTGTACTATATAACAACACAAGTTATGGAAGTGATCATTTGACTCCCTCTACATGTAGTGTAAAATATATACTAACATAGTCTTCACTCATCCCTCTATATTGTGGTAGTTCTACACAGAAGTTTCCCAACACCTAAAACTGTTTGTGATATAAAAAACAGAATATTCATCCCAACCCACACTCCACTAATCAACCCTTGCTTCTTTTTGCCAAAGATAACATTTCCACTCCACCTACCCCATCACCACCCTTCCTTGAGCAGCACAAAAGTCATTGTAACCATTGAATTATTTGTTCATCTCACATTACACCCAACCTGTAACATTCAAAATTGTTCAGAGCCAGCTATTAAAACAGTTCATATTAAATGACTTAAGTTAATTGGTCACTACACTTGACAATTTTTAATGTAAATTTTTTTCCGACATTTCAAGGTGATAAGATTCTACAAAATGTGTGTTCTTTCAAATCAACGTAACGCTAACTGGTTTCGTTGTGCATTTTTTCTACATATTCTTCAGGGAAAAAATTGTGATTTGGGAGGTCTATTATGTGGTTATTTCCCATAGGATTACTTAGTAAGGAAACCAGAACCACATCAGACCAGCCCATGTGTTCTCCACTTAAATACAGTGCATTTTTGGAGCATCATTCTTAAGTCCTGATTCGTAGCATTCTATCTTAACTCAACAACAATATATGTGTTGACATTACACACATTGCGCCCATAAACTAACTTGTAACCCAATTTTCCAGAAGTATGAAATATAAAGATATTCCGAAATCAAATTGATGGTATTTCCAAAAGCATTTCATCACATGATTATCGCATCAAACGCTGATGAAGAACTATTAATTTCACTCAATTGTGTTCACAGGCTCCTAAATGTCCAGTCTTACTCACTGTGATTAAGATTTGATTCAGCATTAACCAAAGTAAAACATCTATTGTTGTTAAGAATAATACATCAAATGGTTTAAAAGCAGCCTTTTATTAGGCTTAATATGCTGTATGCTAATATAGAAATTGTAAATCATACTTGGATTTTCTGTCCGAGTTAGGTTTGTAAGAATCCATGCTACTGGTGTTCCTGAGAAAACAAGACATACAAAAGTCTCAGACAGAAAGCAGAGTAAAATAATGTTTGCAACACACAAATTGTGTTGCAGATTTTAACAAAGAACTTTTATTTTTGAAAACATAAAATAGAATTCTAAAAGGCAAAAATTAAGATGCTGGTTGATTCAAAATGTATCACAATTGATTTGTATGGAGTGCAGTCATTTTGGTTTTCTGGTAAATTTAGTAAAAGATCATTTTAAAAAAAGCACAAAGCATCAGTTATATAATCATGTTTGATGGGAATGGGATAACGGACTATCGATTGCAGACCTGACTGACTTCAACAGGGCTGCACCTATTTACCTGTAACTCAGTTGTTCGCCATTAATAATCTTGTCTCCATCATCTAATCAACCTATTCCCATTATTCCCACCAAACAGCCTTGATTGAAAATTGATTGGGAAAAGCCAAGATAATTTCAGGAACTTGATCGTGTGCAGAAACATCGTTGCGGCTCAGCTGGAGGTCGCTGGTGTCAGAACCAACATCTCTACCTGTTCAGGAATTCTTCTGATCTGTACCGGTTCAATGTGATCTTTTTGTTATGGAAGCCATGAAATTGCTCTGAGCTCCTAACAGAAACATTTCCAAACCTGAAACATGCAAAGCTAATAAAGTTTACTAAAGTCTGCTCGCCTCATACCACACAACAATATTGTAGGGAATTAAATAGGCGTAAGTTTGCTTTTCTTTCCAATAAGCTTATATGATCCGTGATGAAGTTAAAATCATTATGTAAAACCCAGCTGGTATTTAATGCTTCCAATGTTGAGTGTCTCCCTACCTCTTTTAAAGATTCAAAGCTCTTGCAGAGTTTACATCAGTGAATGTCGTTAGTTCCAAATATTTTAAAGAAACTTATAACGAATATGAATAATATTATTTGTTTACAATCAAAAAAAACTTCCAATTGATCTAGCACCTTACAGGTTTGGAGGACATCTCAAGAAGCTTTACAGAATTTACTGTAAAATGTAGTGAATGTTAAAGTAATCAAAAAGGCAAATGGAATGTTGGCCTTTATCTCGAGGGGTCTGGAATACAAAGGGGAAGAAATGATGCTTCAGCTGTATAGAGCGTTAGTCAGACCCCATCTGCAGTACTGCGTTCAATTTTGGGTACCACACCTCAGGAAAGATATAGTGGCCCTGGAGGGGGTGTATCGCAGGTCCACCAGAATGTTACCAGGCATAAAAGGGTTAAGTTACGAGGAAAGGCTGCATACATTTGGATTGTATTCCCTTGAGTTTAGAGGGTGGAGGGGTGATTTGATTGAGGTATTTAAGATGATTAAGGAATTCAATAGTGTAGATACAGAGAAGCTATTTCTTTGGTGGGGGATTCCAAAACAAGGGTACACAGTCTTAAAATTAGAACCAGGCCATTTAAGAGTGAAATCAGGAACCATTTCTTCACTCAAAGGGTGGTAGAAATCTAGAATTCTCTCCCCCAACAGGCCGTGGATGTGTGGTTGATAGATTTTTGGTAGGTCACAGTATTAAGGGATATGGGGAGAAAGTGGGAAATTGGGTTAGTTGAGGTACAGATCAGCCATGATCTAATTAAATGGCAGAACAGGCTCGAAGGACTGAATGGCCTAATTTTGTTCCTATGTTTGATTTGTAGGCAGAATCAGTATAATCTACAGAGGAAATAAACTTGAAATCCGCCTCGCTTTACACCTTACATAAAATATGGAACCAAACATCTCTCATGTTTGTTCTGTCTGCAGTTTTGCACGAAGAGAGCTTGTAATTCATGTAAAGAGCATTCACTAAAGTACATCCTTGAGTTGCAAAAGACACCACTGTTGTGCTGAGAGGCCACATGAATCGACAGACACAATTTTTTAAACCCCAAAACAGATTGAACTCAAGAATTTTGACCTGATATCTTACTTGAACAGCAAAACAAGCACCTATCTCTAGAAGTTAAGGTGCTAGTTTTACCACATGGACGTCATTAGAAAATATTGTAATAAAAACATAACTTTTCTGGTGTAATAAACTTTAATAACATTGAGTATTCCCACCTGCTGGGAGTTTTGACATTTGTGGGAGAAGGCTGGCTGGTGGGAAGTTTTTCAGTGGATCCCCAGAACGGCCTGTCATTTAAGCAAAGAATTTCACCAGTCAGTTTTGAAGATGATAGAAGATTTAAACAGCAAATCTACACAAAAAACATTGACAACCAAACTGTCTTTTCATGGTTAAATAAAATAAACACCTGAAAGCTTATAGAAACCAGCATTCAGCGATCTGACTCCATGATATCTCAGAACCGAATGACTGCTGGCATATAATGGCAATAACATTACTATTTTCTCATTTTGTATTCGTTAAATATATCTTTGAATCGCAAAAGAGAGTATGGCTGTGCGGAGAGGCCACATTAACCACTGGTTCCAATTCTTTAAAGTCCAAAACACATTGAACTCAAGAAGTTTTACATTCTATTTTACTTGGACAGCAAAACAAGCACCCATCTCTTGGAGTTAAGGTGCTAGTTTTACCACATGGGTGACAATAAAAAATATTATAATCATAACAGCAGCATAACTTTAATAACACTGAGTATTCCTACTTGCTGGGACTCTTCTCACTGGTGGGAGTTTTCACATTTATGGAAGAAGGCTGGCTGGTGCTGGAGGGAAGTTTTTCAGTGGATCCCCAGAGCGGCCTGTTATTTAAGCAGACAATTTCATCAGTCAGTTTTGATGATGATAGAAGATTCATCCAGCAAAGTTATATATGCACTAATCAGAACTGAAGTGTTTATTCACTTATAAATAAAATAAGTAACTATAAGCTTCTTAACATTTTTTGTATATGTCAATAAGATATTTCCAATCAATGTTATACCATTTTCGACATATTCATTACTGTAATGGGAAAAAAATCTGATTTGGGGGTCTATTATATGGTAGGTTCTAATAGCATTACTTAATAAGAAAACTGAAACTAAGTCAGGCCGATCTGGCTTTGACGCAATGTAATTTGGAGCATCATTCCTAAGAGCTGATTAGTAGGATATTGTCTTAACAACAAAATCTGTGTAAGAACATCACAAATCACACAGATCACTCATATAAAACTTGTTGAAATCCAATTTTCCCAAATTTTGAAGTGAAAAGATAATCCTGATTTATGTTGGAATATACAGTAATTATCACATTGAACATCTGATGAAGAATTACTAATTTCACTCCATGTTCAATGCGTTCCTAGATGTCCAGCCTTAGCCACTGTTGTTCAGATTTGATTCAGCATTAACCAAAACATCTATTATGGTTAAGAATCTCACATTGAATGACTTCATATGCTGTACATTAATCTAGAAACTGCAAATCATACCTGGATTTGCTGTCCAAGGTAGAAGCTTTGTAAGGATCCTTGCCACTGGTATCCCTGAGGAGACAAAATATGCAAAAGTCTCAGACAGAAAGCAGATTAAAATAATATTTGCAACACACAATTTGTTTTGCAAATCAGTTGTCAAAACCTAAAGTAGGATTCTAAAAGACAAAAATTAAGAGTCTGGTTGATTCGAAACGTATTACCACTGATTTGTATGGAATGCGGTCAATTTTGCTTTTCCGTAAATTTAGGAAAAATCATTTAAAAAACAGTATGTGTACAAAGCATCATCAATTATATAAATGTGTTTGACAGGAATAGGATAATGGACTATCGATTGCAGACCTGACTACAGGGCTGCACCTATTTACCTGCAACTCAGTTGTTCGCCATTAATAATCTTGTCTCCATCATCTAATCAACCTATTCCCATTATTCCCACCAAACAGCCTTGATTGAAAATTGATTGGGAAAAGCCAAGATAATTTCAGGAACTTGATCGTGTGGAGAAACATCGTTGCAGCTCAGCTGGAGGTCGCTGGTGTCACAACCAACATCTCTACCTGTTCAGGAATTCTTCTGATCTGTATCGATTCAACGTGATCTTTTTGTTATGGAAGCCATGAAATTGCTCTGAGTTCCTAACAGAAACAACATTTCCAAACCTGAAACATGCAAAGCTAATAAAGTTTACTAAAGTCTCCTCGTCTCATACCACGCAACCATATTGTAGGGAATTAAACAGGCGTAAGTTTGCTTTTCTTTCCAACAAAATCACCAGTGTAGATTTGTCTAAAAGCTTATGTGATCTGTGACGAGTTTACCCTCCTATTACAATCCGCATATAAAACCCAGGTGGTATTTAATATTTCCAGCGATGGATGTCCCCAAATCACCTTGTGGCCAGTTCAAAACTGAGACCCTTCTAAACCCAATGGAGCTGCTTCAACTCCTCAATAAACACATCACCAGCAGGCCTGGCTCAGAAGGATCCAGTCCCATGAACATAATCCAAACAAGGGTTTTTTTTTCTATTGGAAAAGGATTATTGTGTAGCAGCGCTAATTATTTTTTGTGAGTGTATTTTGAACAAAATGTTTAATTTTCCTTTGAATTTTCAGTGTTTCCCTATATAGTTATGTGGTCAGACTGAATGCCAGTGATCTTTAAGATTTCCCTGGACTTATTTAAAGTGCAACATATGATGTTTCAGAGTTAAATGAGCTGAACTAAGTTTGTGACCAGCCTTTTGTTCAGTACATATAATAATAATAATTATAATAATCCTTGCATTTGATATAGGGCTTTTCACGTCTTCTACATGTCTCAAAGCGCTTCACAGAATATACTGTAAAGTGAACTGACCGTATATTTGTGGGCAAATTGCACACAGCAGCGTCCCACAAACAATCGTGGATTGAAAATAATCAATTTATTATTGTTTTGGTTTTTGAGGGATTATTATTAGGCGTGTAATTTAAACATAATAAATTATATTTAATATAATTAAATAATATAATTTATATTACACTAAATTATATTAAGAATTGGAAGACTATAACACTGCTGCATTGTGACCATGTGCAGCCAAAGAAGGCAAGAGACTTACAGTAGATGTTTGCAATAATAATTCACTGTTAAAGTATGAAAACTACAATAAAATCATACATTTTTGGTCTGTCCAAGGTTGTAGACTGACGGTGCTTGCTTGGAATGTCAGGAGTGCTCGTTTCTCTATGAAAGCAAGGCACAATCATTTAAAAGATTATCATATATATTTGATATTAAACAGCTATGTTAAAAAAGTACATTGAGGAAAAAGACATAAGTAAAGCTCATTTCTTGTACACCAAGATTTTATCTGATTAAGGTAAACAGGCTTTTAAAGGGTCAAAACACAAAGATTTTTTTAACCACTTATAAATAAGATATATCCACTCTTTAAAATATGTATTTCTATTTTTCTCACCAATTTTAGGCCTAGTTGTACAATGGCAACATGTATGCCATTCTACAGCTTAAAATTCCCTATTGGTTACAACTGATGTGTAAATTTAAAATAACTTCAATCAAAAACAAATAATCTATTAGAAATAGGATATTAATTTGCAAATAACGGCTTAAAGAGAATAAACCGTTTATGGCTGTTTTGAGTTCTACAATTGATGCCTTTGAGTGTTTTACTTTAAATGAACCATAAGATCTGCCAACAGTATTTATGTGGCACTGTATTTCTTATTTATGTGTTAATAAGTCAGCCTAATTGTAGGATTTGAATCCTATCCCACTTGTTTTCATAATGCTTATTTCGTTATTTGAACTCCAAAAGTATCTTGTATTGGAGTACTTAAAAAGTTCTCCAACAGGAAAAATGCAGAACTGATGATGTTTTTGAAAACAGGTTTGTTGGGGCACAAGACCCATGGATGTTGTGACAACCTGTGAGAACTGGGTATTGAATAAACATTTCAAGAGGAAGAATTTAAAATAAGATTTGTGAGGCAAGAGCAGAGAATTGAGATTTGAATAACTAGCTCTATCGAATGAGCCAGTATCACCTTAGGCTGTGCTGTAATTTCTATACTTCTTTGAAATGAGATTTTTTTAATGCATTCTATCCTAAATATGTTAGTGGCTTCCATTTTAAAATAATAATCCTCTAACCACTGCGTTTTCATTTATCTTCAATTTTATCTAGCTTCCTGTTAGGTTGCTGGACAGAGTTCTCAAAAGCAGTTTTAGCTAGTTAAACTTTAGCAGTACCCGATTGCACAATCCAAGCCTTGCTTCTTGCAAATCTGCATCTTATACACCCAGAATCGGATAAGCAGGATATGTCTCTCTGCGAAATTCCCATCTGTAGGTGCTATACATAGGTGGAACTCAGTTTGGTTTGAATACTCTTTAAGCATGGGTTTCTTTAAATTGCCTTAAAATTATATTATTAATTAAAATAATTCAAATCAATTATTTCAATGCATTAGACATGAAAAGGAAAAGCTATTTCTGCAGCTCGTGCTGCTGCAAATCCACTGGAAATCACTGAAGTAAAATCAAGCATTGATGAATCTGTTGGTAGGAGTAAATTCTGATCAACAAGCAGTGATTTAATTCAATTTGGATGATTAAAGTGATTTTAAGTGATTCCTAAAATCCATGATCATTCAGGAATTCAAGTATGTGCACCAGCAGCACTGTAGCCATATCACAGCACGATGGGTGTAAAATGCATCACTGTTGTTTCTACCTGAACAGGAACTCTTCAGATCGGTATCGATTGAGCATCATCTTATTAACGGTATCAATTAACTGTGTACTGCTAACAAAGAGAACAGTTCTATGCTTAAAATATATGAATATACAAAAATGCAAAAACAAGAAAATCCCAGTTAAGAAAATCAATACAATACCAAACAAGATACCATTCAATATAAACAGACCAACTTCTCACATATGAACATTGGGAGGGCTTCCTCCAGCACACTGAGGACCAGTCAATGTGTTAATTATCATAAGGTCACTAAATTGATGACCACTTTGAATCAACATGTCAGAAAATGTACCTCAATGTTCCAGGCACAGTTTGAAACTAATTGTTAATATCATTGCTTTAAATAAATGACAAACAAGGTGATGGTGTTTTAAAGCAAGAAGTGGTATCAATGTATTCTCACAAGATGTCAATGCAACCAAATCATCAAGTCATTTCTCTCTGTGTCCACATCTTCCTCTCTTTAGCAGTTACCTGCCATCATTAATTCTCTTCAGTCAAGAAAACTATTCATTGCACCACAATCACCCAACAGGTGGCACAGTTTCAAGAGGGCAGGTTTGTTACAGTCCACGTTTCAGTCCTAAAATGGCAAATTAGCTTCCTGAGATTCCAGGCAATCTCTGGTGCTGAGCCTGGTTAAAAACATTGACTTGTGCTCAACTCAGCAAACTACCATATGACTTAAGTAGCCCTGGAACTCAAACTCTTGTGTTTTTTGTTGCGATTCAAAAACTCAGTCACATGAACTGCTGGACACCTGAATATAATAAAACAAGTTTTAAAAAATACACAACAATAACAAGCGGCACCTAATCAGGTACATACCCTTGTGGTCTATCCAAGGTAGCAGACTTATACTTATCAGTTCCACTCTCTTTCCTGTGTAAATAATGCACAAAGTATAAACTGAAATAACATCAGAGTAAAACTACCTTTTAAATCACTTAAGTAATGTCTTACTTAAGACATTCAATAAAAGAAAAAAGAGTTCTCTAAAGACTAAAGTGTATTTTAAGATGCAGAATTAGACTAATAGTTTTGAAAAGGTTAGTTATTTTGACTGTAGAACAGTGTTTTGTTTAAGATGGATGTAATTTGATGAGAATGTTACCAAGGTAAGACAACAAGAGATCAACACAGAGCATGACAGTGACAGTCCCATTAAAGTAATTTTTTCTATCAAAATGTAAACAAGATCCACACTTTTATTTGTTTGCAAGTTAAAGCATAGGGTGTTTTACACAATATAAAAAGCTAAGTATTTCTACATTGCTACATTGCTTTACTCAAATTGGCAAAGCTGGGAAAGCTTTGGAAACCTGTGTAATATTAAACTATATTTTGTTAAAAATGCAGCAGCTGCCACAGTCATATCGTCTTTACAATACATCTTCCAGGATGAAGTTAACTGCCCGCTCACATTGCTCGGCGAAAGACAGATTTACACTACCTTGCACACAGTGCTGGTGAGAATTTTATTTGTGAAAATAGCTAATTAGATGGTCAATCCTTCTCATCAGAAAAGAAATGGATATCAGCACACCACCAAGATCTTTCAAACTTTATCCATTACAGCTTCAACATACAGAGTTCAATACAATCTACTGCAGACCTGTGTCAGGTTTATCAGACACATCCCCTTGGAGCCTTTTCACTGCTTACCCTCCCCAACTCCTCTCCTTCGCAATATAAAGATATCCCACATCAATCATTAAAAGGAGGCAATCTTTTTAATGTTTTTATAATGGGATAGAAATGACAAAAAGATTGTCATTTTTCGTGATTAGCATGGGACATTCCCTGGGATTAGAGTGGTGTTGACAAATTTAGATTTAATTGTTTTATATTACTGATAGGTATAACAGCCATCGCTTTTCACAATATCTCACACAAATAGCAGATACTGCATGCACGAAGACTAAACCTCTATAATATCTTCATTGGTGCAAGCTTTTAAACAGAGTCTAATATCATGGTACAGTACACCTCATTCCGGCAAATCAGCAAGAAAGTCAAGCACCATATGAAGCATCAGATGAAGCTATAAATTTCTAATTAGTTTCTACAAAAGGACATATTCATACTAATGAGATATAATTTGATGAGCAGCGCAGGTAAAGTGGATAGAGCTGCAGCTTACAGACCAGGAGCATGCTGCTTTGAAGGGAGAAGGGCTTTGAGGGCTGTGCTGAGCTAGTTTCACCTAAGGTTGCACTGGAGGTTAAATTGTTGCCTGTGGAACTAGACATCAGCAAAAGGAGGTCCGACCAGAAGCAAACAGGTATATGGCAACGGGGAGAAAAATAAGTGAACAAAATATATATTTTTTAAAAGTTGATTAACCTAACTAGATTTTAAATGTGGTTCATAAATGTTTGGAGAGCATTCAATCATGTACATGAGCCGGAAATGCAGAACCATGAAACCACTTTACAGAAACGGAGTATTGCTTTCAATATAAAAATATTGATCCAAGTAGCAAAATGGTCCTACCTGGTTGGGCTTTGCCGAGGTTGGTTTCCGCCGAGCACAATTCTACCATAGTTGATATTTTCTGGTTGATTGCTTTTTCATAGAGGAAACATTGTTTGAGAAAAATATATATTCACTATTACAATTCTTTCAAGCTGAATAATATTTCATCTAAAATGATGTACAGAGATACGCGCTGAAGAAATAAACCCTTTTAATGTTTGCCATAATCTTAAAGTGAAAACAACAACAACAAAATTACATTTATAGAGCGCCTTTCACGTCGGGAGGACGTCCCAAGGCGCTGGACAGTCGGGGGTCAGGACCTGAGCATAGGGGAGGGGTGGAGTAGGGGTGAAGGGAAGGCAGACAGGTGGAAGGGCAACCAAAGGCATGATCGAAGAGGGGGGTCTTGAGGCCAGCCTTGAAAGAGGCAAGGGAGGAAGCGAGGCGAAGTGACTGTGGGAGGGAGTTCCAGAGTGTGGTGAAAGAGAGACTGAAAGCTCGGCCACCGAAGGTAGGGCGGGTCGAGCGGGAGACATGGAGCAGGCCAGAGGTCGGCCGAACGGAGGGAGCGGGCAGGTTGGTAGCGATTCGGCAGGTCAGAGAGGTAGGAGGTGGCAAGGCCATGGATGGCTTTGAAAGTGAGGACGAGGATCTTGAATTCAATCCTCTGAGGGATGGGGAGCCAGTGGAGGGTGAGGGTGGGAATGATGGGGTCACGGAGCCTGGTGCGCGAGAATACACAAGCTGCAGAGTTTTGGATGATCTGCAGCTTGCGAAGGGAAGAGTTGGGAAGGCCGATGAGAAGGGAATTTCCATAATCGAGCCTTAATGTGACGAATGCGTGGGTGAGGGTTTCGGCAGCCTGAGGGCTGAGGCAGTGGTGGAGTCTGGCAATGTTGCGGAGGTGGTGGTAGGCAGTGCCGGTCATGGTGTGGATGTGGGGGAGAAAGGGTCAAACAAGACACCCAGTTTCCTGAATGGCTTAGTGAGGTTGACTGTGCAGCTGTGGAGGCTGATGCAGCCAGCGCCCGAGGTGCGGAGGCACGAGCCAATCAGGAGGGCCTCAGTCTTGCTGACGTTCAGCTGGAGAAAGTTATCCCTCGTTCAGGATTTGATGTCGGACAGGACGCCAGTAGTCCTGGAGTTCAGGGTGGAGGCAGAGAGATAGAGTTGGGTGTCATCCGCATACATGTGGAAATTTACTCCATGTCTGCAGATGATGCACCAAGGGGGAGCATGTAGAGGGTGAAAAGGAGAGGACCGAGGACAGACCCCTGGAATGCCACACGAGATGGTGCGAGGGCTGGAAGAGAAGCCATTAGCTGAGATGAAGTGGAGGCAGTGTGAAAGGTAGGACCTAAACCAGTCAAGGACAGAACCTTTGAGGTTGAGGTGGGAGGAGAGGCGGTGGAGGAGGATTAAATGGTCCAGTGTCAAAAGTGGCAGAGAGGTCGAGAAGGACGAGGAGGCAGAGAGAGCCCTGGTCACACATGGTCAAGATGTCATTGGTGACCTTGACCAGAGCAGATTGGGTCAAGGCAAGGTTTCTTCAAGGTGGTGGTGATCATGGCTGTTTTGATGGGGGAAGAAACAGTGCCAGATGACAGGGAGAGGTTGATGATGTCAGCGAGTAGTGGGGCAAGGAGGTGGAGCTGGGATATAAGGAGAGGGGTGGGTATAGGGTCCAGGGAGCAGGTGGTGGGCCTTCATGGAGCATATGGTGGTGATGATAGAGAAGGGGATGACAGGTACAAAGGTGTGGAAGGAGGGATGGGTAGTGGTCGGAGTGTGTGGGGTAGGGAGGGGGTGGAAGTTGGAAGGGCAGTGGCAGCTGAGCGGATTCCCTCGATTTTGGACTCGAGGAAGTCCAGCATTTCCTCGCATTGGGAGTCAGAGGAACGAATCTGCGAGGCATGGCAGGGAGTGGAGAACAAGAGCCTGGGGTTGCCCTTCGCCTCCAGGATTAACTTGGAGTAGAAGGACGATTTGGCTGAGGCGAGAGCGGAGCGGTAGGTTTTGATATGGTCCAGCCAGATGTGCCGGTGGACCGTTAGGCAGGATTTGAGCCAAGTGAATTCGGCAGCCCCCACCTGGCCCTTGAGCGAGCAGAGGTGACTGGTGAACCAGGGTGAGGATCGGGAATAGGAGGCAGTTTGGAAGGTGAGGGGGGTAAAGGCATTGAGTGTGGTGGAGAGGGTGCTGTGGAGGAGAGTAAACGCAGAGAATAGGTTGGTGCGGGAGGTGGGCCAGAGGGGGAGGAGATCAGAGGACTCCAGGGCAGCGGAGATGGTGGTAGGAGATGGTGGTAGGTTTGGAGGCAATGGGGAGAGGGATATAGGCATTGAGGGAGATGAAATGGTGGTCAGAGATGACCTTGTCGGTGATGATGACATCCGAGAAGCTAAGACTCCGGGTGATCACCAGGTCAAGGGAGAGGTTGCGAGAGGAGAGGAGGGAGGAGAAGTCTGAGGAGGTGGAGCAAGAAGGGGTGAAGTGGAGGTTGAGGTCACCTAGGATGATGAGGTGGTCGGAGCAGAGGCAGAGGGAAGCTAGAAGGGAAGAGATGTCAGAGTTGAAGGTTGGGGAGGATTGGGGGGGGGGCGGTAAATTAGGAGAATGCAAAAGACTTGTATACAGTACATTAATAAAGTACTTACACCACATCTTCTGGGTTCGATTTATTTTTGATCCATTCACCATCCCTTATGTAACGCTGTTTCTTCTGACTTTCACTAATCGCCTGCTGCCTGTCCACACTAGGTTCTGCAATAAGGAGAGAAACAAAAATAAGTGATAAATGGGGGGGAAAAAGCATNAAAAAGAACTTGCATTTTTATAATCCCCATAAATTTTAATTTATTCAAAGCATAATTCCTGTCAAATTTAGTTTTTTGGGGGTCAGCCAGGTGTCTGACACTTGCAGCAATACATCACCATACTTAAAGAGTTCCATGCATCCCACCTACACATGGAAATTCCCATGTATTGAAATGGAATGTACACTCACACACTGAAGTTATGTATCCTGCTTACCTCATTCTGTAGGGTATTTGGTGCAGGTTGGCTAGAGCTAAGGCTTGGGGATCCCAGAGTGTACAATGGGGTACTGCTTGAGTTTAACCAGCTAAACCGGCATAGCTTGCCATTGACAATACTATCTGGCAAGCTTTCTCACTGCTTGTCCAGCTGGGATCGTCCTACCTGTTAGAGTTACAGGGTTAATAGGAGCTGAGTGGGAAAAATCCTTGCCCCCAGTGACTGGTCTGCCCCTCCAAGTCCTACTGAACTGCCAGGCTGGCTGAGCTGTCATTAGCATTGCTTGGCTAAGGAACTCAGACACTGCCACTGAGGATTGATTTGATTCAGACATTACATTGCCAATTCAGGTCCAAGGGACTGCCCACCCAGGAGGACAGTCATGTCCCAAGGCGCTGAACAGATAGTTGGGGGGGGGGGGGGGCAGGAGGGTGGGTGTAGGATCAGGGAGGGTGGGGGTAGGAAGGGAGGGATCAGGGAGGGTGGGGGTAGGAAGGTATCTGAAGCCACAGTCAAAGAGGAGGCATGCCTTGAAGGAGGCAAGGGAGGGAGCGAGGCAAAGAGAATGTGGGATGGAGTTCCAGAGGGTGTGGGTAGAGAAGCTGAAGTCCCGACCATCAATGGTGGGTCAGGCCGGGCAGGGGGACATGGAGCAGGCGGGAACCTGCTGAGTGGATGGAGCAGACAGGTTGATTGGCAGGTCGGAGATGTAGGAGGGGGGAAAGCCTTGGAGGGCCTTGAAGGTGGGGACGAGAATTTTGAACTCGATCCTCTGAAGCGTTAGCGTGAGACGATCAGGAGAACCTCGGTCTTGCTGACGTTCAACTCTAGAAAAATGAATCTTATCCAGGACTTGATGTCTGAAGGCAGTCTGTTAGGACATCAGTGATACCGGGGTCAAGGGTGGAAGCAGAGAAATAGAGTTTGGTGAAGCTGGGAAGCAACAACTCTTTTAAGGACCTTGGAAAGGAAAGGGAGGTTGGCAATGGGGTGGTAGTCAGTGAGCAGGGATGGGTACAGGGAAGGTTTTTTTAGGATAGAGGTGATGACAGCTGTTTTTAGGGCATGGTAATGGTGCCAGTTGACAGAGGGTGGTTGAAGAGGTCTGAGAGTAAAGGGACGAGGAGGTGGAACATAGGAACAGGAGTAGGCCGTTCAGCCCTTCGAAGCTGTTCCACCATTTAATTAGATCATGGCTGATCTGTACCTCAACTAATCCTTTCAATTCCAATTTCCTACTTTCTCCCCAATCCCTTAATACCCTGACCTACAAAAAAATCTATCAACCTCACTTTTGAAGGTATGGATGGATTCAGCATCCACAACCTTTTTGGGGAAAAAAATCCAGATTTCTACCACTCTTTAAGTGAAAAAATGCTTCCCGGTTTCACTCTCAAATGGCCTGGTTCTAATTTTAAGACTATGTCTTCTTGTTTTGGATTCCCCCACCAGAGGAAATAGCTTCTCTGTATCTACCATCGAATCCCTTCATCATCTTAAAAACCTCAATCAAATCATCCCTTAACCTTCTAAACTCAAGGGAATACAATCCAAGTTTATGCAGCCTTTCCTTAAAACTTATCCCTTTTAGGCCTGGTAGCATTCTGGTGATCCTGCACTGTACTCCCTCCAGGGCAAATATGTCTTTCCTGAGGTGTGGTGCCCAAAACTGAATGCAGTACTCCAGATGGGATCTGACTAATGCTCAAACCTGGAGCTGGGATGTAAGGAGAGGGGTAGGGATGGGGTCGAGGGTGCAGGTGGTTGGCTTCATTCGGGTTAGAGTGGTGGTGAGAGAGGAGGGGGAGGCAGGTTCAAAGGTGTGGAGGGAGGGGGCCAGAGTGTGAGGGAGGGATAAGGAGAGGGTGGCGGTTAGGTGCGCAGAGGCAGCTAAATGGATTCCCTCAATTTTCGTCTTGAGGAAATCCAGCATCTCCTCGCAGTTGGAGTTGGAAGAGAGGATGGGCGAGGCATGAGAGGGTGAACAGAGGAGCCAGTTGGTAGTGGAGAAGAGAAGCCTGGGGTTTCCTTGGCCTCCAAGATTACCTTGGGATAGAATGATGATTCAGCAGAAGTGAGGGCAGAGTGGTAAGTTTTTGTGTGGTCCAGTCACATCTGTTGATAGACCATTAAATCAGATTTGAGCTCAGTGTGTTTGGCGGCATGCACCTGATTTTGAGTGAGCAAACGTGGCTGGCAGCATCAACTTCCATGGTTGCTCACTACAACTCACCAAGCCAGTCAGGAACCTAGGTGTCTTGTTCAACCCTCAACTGTCTTTTCTTCCACATATTCAAGCCATGACCCGTGCTGTCTTCCCGCACCTCCGTAACATCGCCCAACTTCGCTACTACCTCACCCCTCAGGCCGCTGAAATTCTTGTTCATGCCTTCATCACCTCCAGGCTCGACTATGCAAATGCCCTGCTTGTCGGCCTTCCCAACTCCTCCCTCCGCAGGCTGCAGGTAATCCAGAACTCTGCAGCCCACGTCCTCTCCCGCACCAAACTCCGTGACCCCCATCTCCCCCATTCTCTCCGGACTCCAGTGGCTCCCTATCCTTCAGACGATCCAGTTCAAGATCCTGGTTCTCATCTACAAAGCAATCCATGGCCTTGTCCCACCCTATCTCCGCAACCTCCTAACCCCCTACCAACCCACCCGTTCCCTCCGCTCAGCCGGCTCTGGTCTGCTCCATGTCTCCCAACCCACCCGCCCCACCATGTGTGGGAGAGCCTTCAGCCACTCTGCCCCCAACCTCTGGAATTCCATTCCCCAATCACTCTGTCTCACCCCCTCCTTAGCCTCCTTCAAGTCCCGCCATAGACCCTCCTCTTCGACCATACCATCGGCCAGCCCCCTTCCCCGCCTCTCCCTTCTCCCCCCCTGACCCCAGCTCGGGTCCGAAATGTTGTACACTGTCCAGCGCCTTGAGACGTCCTCCCGACATGAAAAGTGCTATACAAATGTAATCTTGTTGTTGTTGGTGGTGGTGGTGTACCAGGTAGGAGGTGGTTTGGGAGTGAGGGGGGCAAGGGCATCGAGAATGGTGGAGAGGGAGTTGTAGAGGAGAGTGACCGAGGAGGATAAGTCAATGCGGGACGTAGACCAGAGGAGGAGGGGTTCAGACGACTCCAGGGCATGGAGATGGAGTGGGGGGAGATTCTTTCCAGGGCCAATAGGAGATGAAGGTGGGTTGCATGGCAGTGGGAAGAGCGATTGAGGAATTAAGGGAGATGAATTGGTGATCTCAGGGCTTTATCTGTGATTGTGAGGTCCGAGACACTAAGCCCCCATGTAATCACCAGGTCAAGTGGGTGACCATGAATGTGGGTGGCAGAGTGGATTTGGAGGGAGAGGTTGTAAGAGGAGAGGAGAGACGAAAAGTCAGTGGAGCTAGAGCAAGAGAGGGTGAAGAGCAGGTTGAAATCGCCAAGGATAAAGAGGCGTTCAGAACAGAGGCTGAGGGAAACTAGAAGAGGGTAGATAATAATAATAATAATAATAATAATAATAATAATGCATTTGATATAGCACTTTTCACATCTTCTAAAGATGTCAGAGATGAAAGTGGGGACGGGTTTGGGGGGATGATAAATCAGGAAAATTTTGAGGGAAAGTTTGGAGGGATGGCAGAGGGTAAGGTGCTCGAAGGAGGGGAATGAGTCAGAGGAGTAGGGGAATAGAGCAAGTGAGCACCTGGAGATCAGGGGCATATCACCGCCACGGCGGTTAGGACGTGGGGTATGGTGGAAGGTATAGCCAGGTAGTGTGGCCTCAATCAGCGGAAAGGTGTCACCTGAGGTGATCTAGGTTTCAGTGAGGGTCATGTTAGATAGGTAGTGAACATTTTTTGATGCGGAGGGGAGAATTGGCATAGGAATGTGTGAGACGGGAGGGTGTGACGGGAGGGTGTGATGGGAGATTGGCAGGGAGGATAGGAATGTGATGAGCGAGGAGAGGAGAGACGCAAACAAGTCACAACCATGAGGTAAATGATCAATTTATCTGGAGTATTATTGACAAGGATATTGGGACATAAAGACCAGAATATCTATGTTAAATTAACCATCGTAGCCAGGATATCAGTTGTGTTGCTACAATTATGCCCAATACCCTTGATCTAGAAAGTTGAATCATTGAACTCCTGAGGTCAAAATATAGGACTCATAGTTGTCATTTGGGTGCAAGAATATAATAATGATTAATCAATCCAATCTAAACTCTCAGAACATAAATAGAATTCAAATCTTGTCAAAAAGTTGTACCTTTTGAGTCCGTGTTTGTGGACTTTTTCAAATTTTGAAAAAATGACATTTTGAGAGATCACTGCTTTCCAAATGGCTTCTTCAAGGACGATAAGTTCTGTAATGGGGGCCAGCAAACAAAGGAAGAGATTCTCAGTTAACAATTCCAATCATTGATATTACACATTTTTCATTGACACAAAACATGAATAATATTGATCACGTACCAATTGCAAGTTTACTGGTACAGAGAAGCAAGCCAGGAAATAGGAAATTGTAAAATCAACTGTTTTCCTGAAATTATTTAAAGACATCTATTTCTGTACATTTCACAGATTGCTACCTCACATTATTTAACAACTTGCATTTATATCCAGTAGAATGGAAACTCACTAATAGTCAGCAAACAGACTGAGAATTTTGACCACAATAGTGAATTGACACAATTGGGCTTGTATTACTGTGGTACACAATATAATACAAGGATTATATCAATATCATGTTCAAAAAAAAGGACTAAAAATTGACCAGATTAGTAAATTGACCTAATTAATGGAGTGACCTTCAGTTGAGCTTCCACTATTGTACCTTTAAAATGAACGTCTTAAAATTAATGTCTCCTCCAAAAAAGATATTCAGAATCCTCAAGTAGAGACAGAATGCAGGGGTAATTAAGCTTTGGCAACTGGTGAGAATTAAGGGAATGAGAAATGAGCAGTCAGTCAGAGTATAAAGAATAGGCATGTATCCCTGCCAATTGACATCTTTGTTGCAGTCATCAATAAATGCAGTGTTCTACGATTATATCACTGTATTTTTCAATGTAATTTTAAATAAACGTGAAATTTTTTTCATGCACATAAATAGGCTTATCTTCTTGAACTGAAACCAAAATATCACCAATTGAACTAAGTAAGCTCTATAAGACACTTTCCACCTACAAAACTCTGGGGATGGGAAGTCCCATTTTCCATTTGATGTATTTGTGTAAACTGTTTCTGTAGTGCTAAGCTATGATAAAAACATAAGAAATGCTAGACGAAAAAAGACCAAGGTCCATTTAGTTCACCTTCCACCTTCCTGGTGGTCGCATGCACATATGTCTCAAAATACCCATGTACTACATCCCATAATGTTATTTCCCAAAAGAAAACTTCTAATCTGTGTTGAAGGCATCAAGATTTCCTGCTTCAACCGTCTCCCTAGGGAGCCTGTTCCACAGATTTACTATTCGTTCACTGAAATAGTGTTTTGTAAATTCGTTCTGAATTTACCCCCCTTCAATCGCAGGCCGTATCGTCTGGTTTTACTATTTTGGACTAGTTGAAACAGCTTGTCATGATCAACATGATGAGAGGCAAATTAAATTTGGGTTACATTCCTAAGAGCTGAGGCGTTTCAGGGTGATTTGACTGAGGTGTTTGAAAGAATAGAAGTAAGTGAGATTAAAACAATGTTGACAAGGTAGATATCAAGTGATTCTACTCTGAGAGAAGGATCCCAAACAATATAATCTTAGAAGGTTAAAAATGAGATCAGAAAATATTTCTTCAGCCAAATATGTAGCTACAGGAGGTTATAGAATGTTTAAAGGGTGGAGAGGTATAAACAATTCGGAAGTATGAATATCTAGGGATAATGAGAAAAGGTACAGAAATATGATTAAAAGATTCTCTATTATCTAATGAAATTGCACATTGGCTTAATGGGTTGAATGGCCTATCAATGACTGTTCTTATTCTTTTAGTGGCACAAGTTAGCTGCTGTGTTTATCTGCATAACAATTGCAATACTTCAAAAAGAACTTTTGTTCAGGTTAGCTATTATGTAAAGAATATATCAATACAACAGTGTGCAAGTAGGAACAAAACGCAAAATACTGCTGATGCTGGAAATCTGAAACAAAAACAGAAGTCGCAGGGAACACTCAGGAGGTCAGGTAGCATCTATGGAGAAAGGAGAGTGAGTCAATGTTTCAGGTTCACAACCCTTTGTTAGAACTGGGGCATGTTGGCATGTTTCTCGTGAGATCACAACCTAGATTTTCAATACGGAATCAATTCAAGAGAGGATGAGGATTTTGAACTCTATCCTCTGGGGGAGCTAGTGGGTGATAGCCTGGGGTGGGAGAGGAGATAAGCTGCAGAGTTCTGGATGATCTGCAGTTTGTGGAGGGAAGAGTTGGGAAGGCCGACAAGCAGGGAGTTGGTGTTGTTGAGCCTAGAATGAATAAATGCGTGGATGAGGATTTCGGCGGACTGAGGGGTGAGGCAGTGGCAGAGCCGGATTATATTACGGAGGCTGGGGTAGGCAGAGCGGGTCATAACAAGGATGTGGGATAGAAAGGACAGTTGACGGTGAAATAAGTTGTTGATGATGTCCATGACTAAAGGGGCAAGACATGGAGCTGGGAGGTAAGGAGAGGAGTAGGGATAGTGGATTTCATATGGGTTATGATGGTGGTGGAGAGGAGGGGGAGACAGGTTTGAAGGTGTGGAGGGAGGGATTGTTAGGGGCCAAAGTGTGAGGGGGAGATGGGGAGGGGGTAGCAGTTGGAAGGGTAAAGGCAGCTGAGCGGATCTCCTCACAGTTGGAGTTGGAGGAGAGGATAAGCGAGACGTGAGATGGTGGGTGGGGGAACCGGTTGGTGGTGGAGAAGAGGAGCCTGGTGTTGTCCTTGGCCTCCAAGATTATCTTGGAGTCGAAGGACGATTTAGCGATGGAGAGGGTGGAGTGGTAGGTTCAAGGAGCTGAATAGTTTTTTTGTTTACTTGCTAATTGCCCTGAGGAATGTAACATAATAACAAAGACTTTGTTTGGATGAATGATAAAACCCACACCTAGAAACTTCTTGTGCAATATTGTACAAGCTGTTGCATGAGGACGGTATCTATATTACTGTACAAACTGGTTTAGAGATACTTCAACAGAAAATATGACTCAAATCTTTATTTTATGGGGCAAAAAAAACCCCTTAAAATAAATAAAGACAGCAGAACAGTATCTTACTTGCACACACAAACAGAATTCGCTGGGAGCACTCAGCTCCGGCCTGCTCCATGTCTCCTGCCCGATCCGCCCTACCGTCAGTGGCCGGGCTTTCAGCCTCTCTATCCCCACACTCTGGAATTCCATCCCACAGTCCCTTCACCTCGCTTCCTCCCTCGCCTCCTTCAAGGCCGGTCTCAAGACCCTCCTCTTCGATCATGCCTTCAGTCGCCCTCCCACCTCTCTGCCTTCCCTCATCCCTACCCCACACCTGCCCCATGCTTGGGTCCTGACCCCTAACTGTCCAGCGCCTTGGGACGTCCTCCCGACATGAAAGACTCTCTATAAATGTCATTTTGTTGTTGTTTGTTGTTGTTGTCTGTACACTGAGGGTTACAAAACAATGCACCATTATGACCTGTCTATCTTTTTTAGATCTAAAGTTGCAAATGGGAATCATTTGAATTTTCTTTGTAATTCAACACCTATGCTCCACTATAATACCTTAAAGGGAGGGTGGAATCTTTTATGAACAAGTCTTCAGCAATTTTTTGGTTTGGCAGCAATGACAGCAGGATGAGTCATATATGTCATATTCTTATCGAACACAATAGATTAGATGATACGTTTCAATGAGATTATGTAATAATAGTAATCCTTGCATTTCTTATAGCACTTTTGACATCTTCTAGACATCTCAAAGTGCTTCACAGAATAATAATAATCCTTGCATTTGATATAGCGCTTTTCACGTCGGGAGGACGTCCCAAAGCGCTTCACAGAACACACTGTAAAGTGAATTGACTGTATATTTGTGGGCGAACGCGGCAGCCAATTGCGCACAGCAGTGTCCCACAAACAGTTGTGGATCGAAATGACCAATTTATTATTGTTTTTTTTGAGAGATTATTATCAGGCGTGTGGAGTAAGGAAACTTGCCCAAGGTTTCACCCTGCCGGGAATCAAAACCAGATCTCTCGCTTGTAAAGCGAGTGCTCTAGCCACTGAGCTACAGGACTCCAAAGTGTAACCAATGGAAGACAAACATTTGCCAAATACGTTAACATGAATACAGTACCAGTTTGATCAACAGAGATATTCTGTTTCTGTGAGCATTCACGGTTATTCAGTGCTGACAAAAAGGTCACATTTGCATTCATTGTTCTGCAAACACATCTGGACCAGTTCAACCTGAAATACCTTCCAAGTGGTGACCACAAACTTAGAGGATGGACTTGCACGTCCAGTGGATTTAATTCTTTCTTTTTTTAAAAACATAACCACCCAAATAAAAAAAAACTACTTCTTTAAAATGAAAATCTATAACGCATGTTCAAAGCAAACCAGGTTGACAAATTAACTTAACTGGTTTTGCAAGTTTGGGGTGGAGTTGACAATGTGGTGTGACATTTGCACACATCTGCTTAGTATTTTCCCAGCCTACATTAGCCAAATGCAAATATATCAGTGATCAAAAGCGTACAGAGAAAAAGTATTAATCTGATAGTTCGAGCATCACAAACAAAATGATTGTGTTTCACTGTATTAATTACATTTATGTTGAATTAATAAACAGAAATACACTGAAAACTCTCTGGCATAGATGCAATTTAGCAATGTTTTCCTGTTACAATGTTGAAGTTTAAACTACCCTCAAAAAAGTTAAATGTAGCATCACAATGCCAACATTGTGTAAGTAGTATTTCTTATCACAGATAACAATGAGTTTTGGATCCTCCCTCAAAGAAAATCTTCTCCCTCCTCCCTTTACAGGTGAGTTAGGCATTGGAATGAAGTGATCACTGCAGGTGCTGCTGTATTAGCTAACCTTTAAACAAACTATATTTATCTCTCTCTCTGAGTTCTTCAAAGTGAGGGAATTCAGTTGTTCCTAAAACAACCATCTTTATATCCCATCTGAGGAAGGCTGCCAATTTAATCAATTTAGTGCCAGTTAATGCTGACTGTGGGAATATATTTTTGGACTGTGAATTTATACTTTAAGTTTAAATTCACAGTCTTTACTTTAAGTATAAATTCAATGAAAAATTTAAAAATATTTAAAAGAGAGAGATTTCTGTAATACAGGTGGGGGTTATGCTGAAAGGGCAGGGCATTGGGATTAACTTGTGCAACAGGACTATTAAGTGAGTTGAGACTCTCTGTTCTCATTTTACATAGGACTCTTTCAGTCAACATGATCTGCAAATGCAACTCTGCAATGGTGTTGAGGTGACAAGGCTTTCTCATTGCTTATTATTATTATTATAGATCAAATGCTCAGGCAGTCTATGGATACCAAGCATGCACTTCTAAGACAACCAAAGGAATATGATCCCAATACTCCAGAACTCCATCCCAAAAGTAGATCACACCAGAGAGAGTCATGTGCCATCCAACAACAACAACTTGTATTTATTCAGAACCCCTCACCAGGATAGCATTTCAAAGTGCTTCATAGACATGGGGTGGGATACTGACTAAGGAAGAATGAGGTGGCCATGGATCTGATTTCCTTATTTAGTAATCCCATCAGAAACTGATGCTTAATGGATCCCATTGACTCTTAATACACAAATGAATGCAGAACAACAGAGAAATCACGTCGGACCTCCCTACATTCCAGATACCATTGTCAAACCAGTGTCAAGTCTACAATCTCCCTCAGTGCAAGGAGCATTTTCCTCTCCCCTAACATTCATATTATTATTATTTATATTAATTGACACAAACAGTGAATGTTGTTCCTTCACAAAAGCAGGACAGTCACAAAACAGCCATACAGAGGATCAAAATAAGTAACATTTATAATAGTAATAATAATAATCCTTGGATTTGATATAGCGCCTTATCACGTCTTCAAGATGTCTCAAAGCACTTCACAGAATATACTGTAAACTGAATTGACTATATTCTGTGGACGAAACCCAGCACCCAATTGCGCACAGCAGTGTTCCACAAACAGTTGTGGTTTGAGTGCCCAATTTATTATTTTTTTAAGGGATTATTACCCCTAGAAAAGCGATCGGCCAATTGACTAACAACTGGGTTCCTACTTACTACTTATAAACCAAAACAAACATCCTACTGAATGACACTTGACAGGTCTTCATTGCTGATAGCAAAATCAAGTATACATTTAGCAGAATGTCTTTTACCTGCGACTATTCCTGAAAAATACTTGATCGGTGTATACACATTCAAGCTTCTTTTGAAATTCATGCTGAACCTGCTATAATTCAACAAGGAATAAAGTACACAACACTGGCTGTCTTCCACGTAGTTTAATTTAGTCTCAATCCTGCAAACACCTCTATTTATTTTCCTTTTCTCTATTGTTTTTCATCTTCCTCCCCCACCCAATTCTGGGTGAGGTTTTCATACTCTGACAGTTCAGTACATCAGGTGGTAACCTGTTCTCACTAAGCCTAATAATTAATACCCAATTTCATTAAATCTAAGCAAAGCAATTCGACTTCAAAGTTCACTTTGTTTTAACAATATGCTTCAAAAACAAGTTTGTCGCCTAAAGCAGAAATAAAGCTGATTTAATGCTACCAGCATCTCGCAAAATGAAAACAAAGAGAGTCCCAATTAACAGGGCTTTTGCTTCTAACTTTTTGCAGCTTTTGTAAAACGTACTAAGATTAAAATTAGTGCTCTCTTTCTTATCATCCTAATAGCCGAAGGACACAAATTAGTTAGTTACTTTGTGCACTTTGTACAACTTTCATGAACATCTAAATGTATGTTAGGCTGGTTCTAGAATAATAAGTGCTACCTATTTTATATGGCTCACCTGTTGGATTGTTTGGTTCTGAAGGAATTCCTTTGGATTTTGCCCTCTGCCTTCTTCGGCTAAAAGCTCCTGGTGAGGTTATCGTGAGCTGACAAGAGCAACAGTGAAATGAACGCTGCCAGAGCTGCCTCCCAGCTTATTTGTTTCTCGATTGGTACGTTTCCACCTCAAGGCTCTGACTCACACACCCACCCCCTCTGGGTGGAGGAAAGGGAGGGTGAATACATAACAAATGGAAAAGAATACAATAAAAAGCACTGGAGTTTTGACATTCCACCACTCCCTCCCAGGTTAGCTTTGCTGCATTCCTTTCATATCATTAGAATTCCACTTTGGCAGCTTCCACCACCCACTCCAGAGTCTCATACGCCACTAAGGAGATGAACCTTGGTCTTAGTGTATCCTTTAATTGGCCCATTTATATAAGAGAAAGATGGATAAATGTAGGAGAGATTACAAGTCAGAGACTACAAAACCAAAGCTCAAATGGTTCTGACCATCTTTTGAAACTCAAAATGAGAATACAGATCAGAAGTCATTTTTCAATGCGGTTATATACTTTTTTTTCCAATCTTCTCCTCCTTTCTTGAAACAGTGACTCATTTAGGTGTTGTTTCCTCAAGTGTTGGCTGCTTTCCTGTGCTCAACCCAACCGATACTTCTTTATGTGTGAATCCTGGTGGTGAGTGTTGAAGGGCTAGCAGTAATTTCAAGGGCATCCATAGCCTTGCCCCACTACCTCTCCAACCTGCTAACCTGTTATCAACTGGCCCGTTCCCTCTGCTCAGCAGGCTTCAGCCTGCTCCATGTCCCCCACCCGGCTCACCCCATCATCGGCAGTCAGGCCTTCAGCCTCTCTGCCCCCACCCTCTGGAACTCCATCCCACATTCCCTTTGCCTCACTCCCTCTCTTGCCTCTTTCAAAGCATGCTTGAAGACCCTCCTCTTCAACTGTGTCTTCGGCCACCCTCCTACCATCTCTGCCTTCGACATTCCCTGCTCTACAGACAAGATATACATGCTCTTGTGACCATGTTTAAATAACTGTCAGGCTATTATCAGATTATTATATAACTTGTAGAGAAGAAACTGATACGATTTCCAGCAGGGGAATATAATAGTTTTATAGTTTCCACTTTAGATTCAGCTGCCTTACTTCTTTGAATATACACTTGCTTTAATACATGTAAAGGAAATTGACGGATTTGTAAATAAAGCCTTCATTTTAAGTTCTTTGAAGAACTGCAGAAAATCAGCTTCAATGACTGAAATCAACAAATTCTGAATTATCTGAAACATTACACAAATAGAGTAAATCTAGATGCTAATGGAATTTTTCTTTGGTCAACCAGGTGTCTGCTAGTTACAGAAACCCATCACCATGCTTTCAAATATCCAAATCAAACATAGTTCCATGCATTCCACCTACACATGAAATGACAGAGGTATTTATTGGAATGGAATGCACACTCTCTCCCTGGAGGAACGCCTACTAATTACCCAAATCTGAAAAGTATTAGGCACAGGTTGGCAAGAGCCAAGGCTTGGGGACCCCAGAGTTTGCATTGGGATACTGCTCGAGTCAAACCAGCTAAAACTGCATAGCTTGCCATTGATATTGCTGTCTGGCAAGCTTTCCCTCTGCTTGCCCAGCTAGGTCCACCCTACCTGTTAGGGCTTTACCTTACAGGGTTAACAGGAACTGAGTGGAAGGATTCCCTGCCCCAGTGACTTATCTGCCCCTCCAAATCCTACCGATGAGCCAGGCTGGCTGTTCTGTCATCAGCAATGCCCTGGAAAACTGCGGACCCGCCTGATTCAGAAACCAGACTACAGAGATGGCCACAGAGGTTGTACTCAATTTCAACATTCCCTTTCCAAACATGTCACCTTTAAGCCAGTTCAGCTCCAAGGAGACACTGCTCGGGTTTTGACAAATTTGTAAATAAATCCTCTCACAAGATGGATGGTAGGTACCAGAACTCCCTGCAAGCTTCCTGGTGGGCAACACAAGGTGGTTTCCAGGTGCATGATGTATAAATGTGTGTTCGGGAACTCTTACTCCAGTCAGTGCCTACCAGCAGCTGTCACCGCAAGCCTCAGGTGGAAATTATGCCCTATAGCTTTACGGAGATACAGATCTCTACTTAATTACACTGAGCTACAGGACTGGGGGGTCCTGTAGCTCAGCAATTACAACAACAACAACAACACGATTTCATTCATAGAGCGCCTGGACAGTTGGGTCGGGACCCAAGCAAGGGGAAAATGGTCAGGGTGAGGGGAGGGAAGGGAGGGAATGAGGAGGGGGTAGAGAGTCGAGAGGGGAGCTGAAGGCACAGTCGAAGAGAGAGGTCTTGAGACCGGCCTTGAAGGAGGAAAGGGAGGAAGCAAGGCAAAGGCCCTGGGGGATGGAGTTCCAGAGCCTAGGGGCTGAGAGGCTGAAGGCCCGGCCACTAATAATAATAATCCTTGCATTTGATATAGCGCTTTACACGTCGGGAGGACGTCCCAAAGCGCTTCACAGAACACACTGTAAAGTGAATTGACTGTATATTTGTGGGCGAACGCGGCAGCCAATTGCGCACAGCAATGTCCCACAAACAGTCACATGGATTGAAAATGACCAATTTATTATTGTTTTGTTTTTTTGGAGGGATTATTATTATTAGGCGTGTGGAGTAAGGAAACTTGCCCAAGGTTTCACCCTGCCTGGAATTGAACTCAGGTCTCTCACTTGCAAAGCGAATGCTCTAACCACTGAGCCACAGGACTCCACTGATGGTAGGGCGGTTGGGGCGGGGGATGTGGAGCAGACCGGAGCCAGAGGAACGGAGGGTACAGGCGGGTAGGTAGGGGGATAGTAGGTCGGAGAGGTAGGAGGGAGCAAGGCCGTGAATGGCCTTGTAGGTGAGGATGAGGATCTTGAAATCAATCCTCTGGGGGATGGGGAGCCAGTGGAGACGAGTGAGGGTGGGAGTGATGTGGTCCCGAAGCCTGGTGCGGGACAGTACACGAGCTGCAGAGTTCTGAATGACCTGCAGCTTGTGGAGGGAGGTGGCGGGAAGGCCGGCGAGGAGAGAGTTCCCATAGTCCAGCCTTGAGGTGATAAAGGCATGGACCAGAGTTTCAGCAGCGTGAGGGGTGAGGTAGTGCCGTAGTCTGGCGATATTCCGGAGGTGATGGAAGGCGGTGCCAGTTGTGGCGCGGATATGAGGAAGAAAGGACAGCTCAGGGTCGAACAGAACGCCAAGGTTCCTGACTGGCTTTGAGAGGTGGAGAGTGCAGCCTTGGATGCTGATGCTGTCAGCGCACTCACCTCGCAAGCAAGAGACCTGGGTTCTATTCCCGGCAGGGCAAAATGTTGGGCAAGTTTCCTTATTCCAGACACCTGTTTATCAAGCAGAAACTAGGTAACCCAGTTGTTTGTCGATTGGCGGATAAATTTTCCGGGGATAATAATCCCTCAAAAAAATTAAATAATAATAATCTGGTCACTGAATCCACAACTGTTTGTGGGACACTGTGTGCACAATTGCCTGCCATGTTTCACCCTCAAATATACAGTCAATTCACTTGACAGTATATTCTGTGAAGGGCTTTGAGACATCTAGAAGACATGAAAAGCGTTATATTAAATGCAAGGATTATTATTGTTATTGCTTTCACTGAAAAGCTTTTTGAAAGTGAAGACAGTCAACTCTAGGATCACTGCTGTTCTGACCGATTGTCAGTCAGAGTATCAAATCTTTGACAAGCTCTATTTTCCTCCAGTTGAACCTCGACAACACTAAGACTCTCCTGCTTGGCTCCCATCAGTGTCTTCTAAACTCATGTGCTAATCACATCTAGTTGCACCAACACCAATGGTCACTCAATCTCACAGAGCTGATGCAGAACCTTGGTGTCTTCTTGTAACCACCAAGTGTCTTTCAAGCCCTACATCTGAACACATTCGCTCAACTTTTTGTCACCTCTGCTAAATGTCTTACCCTTTAGACCATGTTTTAAGTTATCCTTGCCCCCCTCCCCCCACTCAGCTCATCCCTCACAAATTGTTGGTGTTGTTGAGTGCCCAGCCAAATATGGCTATGAGATGTCCTCCCAACATGAAAGGTGCTACGTAATGCAAATTGTATTGTATCACCTATAACAAGAAGGTACTTGTAAAAATACTTGTATATTAAATAGGTCAAATACAACTGGTTCAACTGGTTGTGTTGTTCTCTACATTCTTTTCCACTTTGAAAGAACCACCCTTTTTGTTTCTGAATGTTTGTAGCTTTACATTCATCTCAAAAAAGAATAAAATGAGAAAAGAAAGTTTAGCACATCAAGCTCATTTCTTCCATGGATGAATTAATTCATCCTTACATTTGTTATAACGTCTTTCACACCAGGAGAGTCTCAAAGCACTTCACGACATTTACTATGAAGTGCAGTGTCTTAAAGGACAGTTGAATGTTGAACAAGAAACCAAGGTTCCATATGGGCAGGTTGAGGTGGGGAATGCATCCATGAATGGCGATGCTGTCAGCACCTGAGGTGAGGAGACACCGACGGGAGCCAAGTAGGAGAGCCTCAGTTGTGTCAACATTCAACTGTAGAAAATACAAACACATAAAAAGTACAATATTTAAAATCTTTATTGGTCGAAGAAATGGCTTTGGTGATGTGAAAGACAGTTTAGAAATGTTTGAGTGATACTTATAAAATACTAATTCAGACAGTAGCAGAATGAAACATTTACTCTCCAGTTTAAAAAATGTCCTGTTTCATTGGGTCCAACTCTGCTTGTGGCCCATTCAGAACCACAACCTGCTGCTAGATAACAGGATTCATAAAACACCCCATCACGTCTAACCACCAGACCAAGGTGTTTAAAACATGGACTGCATTCTGCAGGAAATCCTACCTACTCAAATATAGCTCTGAGATATCCTCGGAAGCCATGTCATGAGTCGACTTGTCGAACTAGCGGATTGCCAGCGCATAACAGAGCTTACATCGAAGGCAACTCTGCCATCTGAATGCTCTGAAACACTATCCATGGGCTATATCAATGCAAATTGTTGCTGTTGTTTTGCAACCCCCGAGACCTTTACCACAAGCTAACAACTTATCATAGAATCATAGAATTGTACAGCACAAAAAGAGGCCATTCGGTCCATCGAGTTTGTGCCGGCTCTTTGATTAGAGCAATTAATGTCAATCCCACTACCCAGCCCTTTCCCCATAACCCTGCAAACCCGTGCTCCTCAAATACCCATCCAACGCATTTTTAAAAGTAGTTATCGAATCGGCC